ATGTAACCAGACACACATAGGACGTACGTGTAACCAGACACACATAGGACGTACATGTAACCAGACACACACATAGGACGTACATGTAACCAGACACACACATAGGACGTACATGTAACCAGACACACATAGGACGTACATGTAACCAGACACACACATAGGACGTACATGTAACCAGACACACACATAGGACGTACATGTAACCAGACACACATAGGACGTACATGTAACCAGACACACCTAGGATGTACATGTAACCAGACACACATGGGACGTACATGTAACCAGACACAAACATAGGACGTACATGTAACCAGACACACATAGGACGTACATGTAACCAGACACAAACATAGGACGTACATGTAACCAGACACACGTAGGACGTACATGTAACCAGACACACCTAGGATGTACATGTAACCAGACACACACATAGGACGTACATGTAACCAGACACACACATAGGACGTACATGTAACCAGACACACATAGGACGTACATGTAACCAGACACACCTAGGATGTACATGTAACCAGACACACATGGGACATACATGTAACCAGACACAAACATAGGACGTACATGTAACCAGACACACATAGGACGTACATGTAACCAGACACACATAGGACGTACATGTAACCAGACACACATAGAGCACGTACATGTAACCAGACACACACAGGACGTACATGTAACCAGACACACATAGGACGTACATGTAACCAGACACACACATAGGACGTTCATGTAACCAGACACACATAGGACGTTCATGTAACCAGACACACATAGGACGTACATGTAACCAGACACACACACATAGGACGTACATGTAACCAGACACACACATAGGTCGTACATGTTACCAGACACACATAGGACGTACGTGTAACCAGACACACATAGGACGTCCATGTAACCAGACACACATATGACGTACATGTAACCAGACACACATAGGACGTACATGTAACCAGACACACACATAGGACGTACATGTAACCAGACACACATAGGACGTACATGTAACCGGACACACACATAGGTCGTATATGTAACCAGACACACACATAGGACGTACATGTAACCAGACACACACATATGTCGTACATGTAACCAGACACACATAGGACGTACATGTAACCAGACACACATAGGACCTACATGTAACCAGACACACATAGGACGTACATGTAATCAGACACACATAGGTCGTACATGTAACCAGACACACACATAGGTCGTACATGTAACCAGACACACATAGGACGTACATGTAACCAGACACACATAGGACGTACATGTAACCTGACACACATAGGACCTACATGTAACCAGACACACATAGGACGTACATGTAACCAGACACACATAGGACGTACATGTAACCAGACACACATAGGACGTACATGTAACCAGACACACAGATGATTTACATGTAACCAGACACACATAGGACGTTCATGTAACCAGACACACATAGGGCGTACATGTAACCAGACACCAACATAGGTCGTACATGTAACCAGACACACATAGGACGTACCTTTAACCAGACACACACATAGGACGTACATGTAACCAGACACACATAGGACGTACGTTTAACCAGACACACACATAGGACGTACATGCAACCAGACACACATAGGACGTACATGTAACCAGACACACATAGGACGTACATGTAACCAGACACACACATAGGACGTACATGTAACCAGTCACACATAGGACGTACATGTAACCAGACACACACATAGGTCGTATATGTAACCAGACACACACATAGGACGTACATGTAACCAGACACACATAGGACGTACATGTAACCAGACACACACATAGGACATACATGTAACCAGACACACACATAGGTCGTACATGTAACCAGACACACATAGGACGTACATGTAACCAGACACACATAGGACCTACATGTAACCAGACACACATAGGACGTACATGTAATCAGACACACATAGGTCGTACATGTAACCAGACACACACATAGGTCGTACATGTAACCAGACACACATAGGACGTACATGTAACCAGACACACATAGGACGTACATGTAACCAGACACACATAGGACGTACATGTAACCAGACACACATAGGACGTACATGTAACCAGACACACAGGACGTACATGTAACCAGACACACATAGGTCGTACATGTAACCAGACACACAGATGATTTACATGTAACCAGACACACATAGGACGTTCATGTAACCAGACACACATAGGGCGTACATGTAACCAGACACCAACATAGGTCGTACATGTAACCAGACACACATAGGACGTACGTTTAACCAGACACACACATAGGACGTACATGTAACCAGACACACATAGGACGTACGTTTAACCAGACACACACATAGGACGTACATGTAACCAGACACACATAGGACGTACATGTAACCAGACACACATAGGACGTACATGTAACCAGACACACATAGGACGTACATGTAACCAGACACACATAGGACGTTCATGTAACCAGACACACATAGGGCGTACATGTAACCAGACACCCACATAGGTCGTACATGTAACCAGACACACATAGGACGTACATGTAACCAGACACACACATAGGACGTACATGTAACCAGACACACATAGGACGTACATGTAACCAGACACACATAGGACGTACATGTAACCAGACACACATAGGACGTTCATGTAACCCGACACACACATAGGACGTACATGTAACCAGACACACACATAGGACGAACATGTAACCAGACACACATAGGACGTACATGTAACCAGACACATATAGGACGTTCATGTAACCAGACACACATGCGACGTACATGTAACCAGACACACATAGGACGTACATGTAACCAGACACACATAGGATGTACATGTAACCAGACACCCACATAGGTCGTACATGTAACCAGACACACATAGGACGTACATGTAACCAGACACACACATAGGTCGTACATGTAACCAGACACACATAGGTCGTACATGTATCCAGACACACATAGGACGTACATGTAACCAGACACACACACATAGGACGTACATGTAACCAGACACACATAGGTCGTACATGTAACCAGACACACATAGGACGTTCATGTAACCAGACACACATAGAGGACGTACATGTAACCAGACACACACATAGGTTGTACATGTATCCAGACACACACACAGGACGTACATGTATCCAGACACACATATAGGACGTACATGTAACATGTGTGAGCTTTGTGGTCAAGCATTCAAAAGCGCAAGTCTAGCAAGCACCAGGTGCTGAGATCGTATCCCGCTAGTGACCGTAATGTTATTCAGTCTTAGGACCAGCAATGCGTACAGGTCTTTACAGTGTTTGGGGGCACGGGTGGCCCAGTCGTCTAAGGCGCCGCTATTCGCTGTGCAGAGTTGCGTCCCTTGGGCTCGCCAGAAACCTATGATTGTGGGTTCGAATCCCGGTTCGCCCCAATTATGTTTCTAGGTTTGTCAGCACCATACCCGTGCTCGTGGGTTTCACCGAAGTGGTAAACGTCTGAAACCTGCATCACTTCGGGCTTTCCTCCCACATTAAGCTGACACGCCGCGATATGACTGGAATAATGTTAAAAGCGGCGTTAAACCCAACTCACTCACTCACTCACTCACTTTACAGTGTTGTCACTACCAGGTATAGTCTAAAGTACATACAACCCGTGCACTCAAATGATCCACTCGTCCGATGGTAGATGACCAGATGGTGGAAACACGAATACCTACATACACCCGAAACACAAGTGTCAGAACTTGTGGTGTCACCCTGGGCAAATGACTCAAATGTGCCTCTGTTTACCCAGCAGGGAATGGGCACCCGATATGTGAGGTGTACACGTAAAAACCCTCCAGCGTCCGTAGGCAGCTTGGGTTGTATACTCCCCAGGGAGTTGAGAAAGATAACTGGAATGGCTACCAATCTATTTATCGGGGAACAACTAAACCGCATTTGAGCAGATACCAGTACCCGGATAAGTGCGGTATATAAATGTATAATATAGAATAGAACGACAGTCATTTGAAACGTATAAAGGTTCCACCGGTCAGCTGTCTCAGGCCATTAGTAAGGGGCTATGGGAAACAAAACTTACTCAAGTTCAAGATAAATAAATTACATTATTGACTAGTTCAAGACAATCGTTAGAAAATACATAGCTTCTGGGCAAAGAGGTAATCAAATATCCCTCCTTAGATACATATTTAATTTCATTGAAACAATTAATGACGCAATTAATAAAAGCGACAAAACCCTTTCCATATTCATGAGAAAATGTCTGCCAATAGCAGTGACACTTGTGACTATACCATGAGCATGTTTATGAATCACTATCAAATAGTGATGATACAAAGTTTTCGCAAAAAGGTTAGCCCATCCTGCCCCACCAGTTGCACCCGTCACAAACACATGCACAGGCAAGTCAATTGTTCACCTGAGAAAACACGGGAACATATGAATCCAGTCAAAATCAGGAATTGCATCGGATATCATTTTTGTCACTGATTTGTCAAATTTGGAAATATCATTCACCATAAGGCTTTTTGAAAGCTTTACTGAGGCCTTGAATGTGGTAACACTGATCAAAGAACGTCAGAAGTCATTTCTAACAGGTGGGCACGGGTGGCCCAGTCGTCTAAGGCGCGGCGATTCGCTGTGCAGAGTTGCGTCCCTTGGGCACGCCAGAAACCTATGATTGTGGGTTCGAATCACTGTTTGCCCCGCTTATGTTTCTAGGTTTGTCAGCACCATACCCGTGCTCTTGGGTTTCACCGAAGTGGTAAACGTCTGAGACCTGCATCACGTCGGACCTTCCTCCCACATTAAGCTGACACGCCGTGATATAACTGGAATACTGTTAAAAGCGGCGTTAAACCCAACTCACTCATTTCTCGGAAATCAACATGACATGTACAACATGTACAAAACATGACACACAATTCTGAACTTATTTCTCAACAAAATTTATTAAATAACAGGATTTTAGTGGTTTTGAAGTTGAACTTACATACCAGTTGTTTTGAAATAACTCTATGACAGCAGTACATGTTCAAAATGACTAACTCTAAAAGTCGCCCCGGCTGAAGTTGACCTACATGTTTGACTGTTCACAGCCCATGGCTGACAAAATAGTTGTTCACGGTGACAGTGCTGTTTACAAATTGCTTGAACCTAGAGGACAACCTCGATCTGGAATAATGTTCACCATATATGTCTGAATGTCATTTATAATTGAAGGCAAGACGGCCTCACGTGTGTGACCCCTTATCTATGTGACACAGTGTTTAGTGCGTGTTTCCCACATTAGAAGGCGTTCAGAAAAAGATTTAACCATCTTTGATAAGCTGCCACGATCACATAGATGCTTATGCATTTTGCCAGTTAGTGACAAAACATCTGACAATGTTTGGATATCGATATTAGTTCCAAAGGGTTATCGGCAACCATTGTTATAGGTCGGCTTTCGATAGATTGATATGTTCAGACGTTTGTATGAAAAGGCTTTTTTTTTCATTTTTTAGGTATCTAATGGAATTAGATACCCGTTTTCTGGTCTATACTCGATTATTTACAGCCGTATATACATTCATGTAGTTGAAATATTAGTGTGTGGCGTTAAAGAACAAAGAAATAAAACAGAGTCGTGGTAGAATTCTCGTTCATATCTTTCTTAATCACTGTACTTTCTTAATAACGATTTCTATATATTTTCTCCTCATTTCTGAAATAAAGCATATCCCATTTGTCAAAAAGGGTCCTGTAGTAACTTGTCCTATATAATGTAGACTGTCGTGAAACAAAACACAATTGTCTTTTTGTCCAAATGCCCTTTTTGTGAGCTATTCTTTTCTTTCACCTGAAACCACAGTGAATTTTTTTTATGAAAAGACGATAACACAGAAACACAATATGGCCGCCAAAGGATGCACAAATATGGCTGCTGCAGATGAATTATCACGTACTGGCGGCGTCGGTGGTACTTGCTTGAAAATCTTTGGCTCTCCATTTGTCAGAGAGATTGTCATTACTCCGCCGTTAACAGTGGCTGTGTCTGTCTTGTCCCAGATGTTGACGAACACTGGAACCAAATTGGAAGCTATAAAAACAATTCCCATAACGTTTTCTTTATACAATAAGACGCGAAAAAAGCAGATGAGCAAAATGAGTGAAACAACACCATGCAGAGTTACTTCCCGTCTGTATATTTTTTCTAATGAACTGATATTTCAACACTAAACGTGACACGTTTCATTGCTTTGTTTGTTGTATAACGCCGCGTTAAGCAATATTCCAGCTTTATAGCAGTGGCCTGTAAATAATCAAGTCTGGACCAGACGATCCAGTGATTGATATTATGAGCAACGATCCACGCCATACAGTACACTACAGTGTACATGACACGTGAAGTTCGTTCATTTGTCCCCACAGTGGGACGATATAAATTCAAGTGGCCAAATGGTGGGTATTGAACTTCCATTTACTTCCATTTACTTCCATTTACCGGATCCTTGTTCCATGTCTGTGAGATTGCCGACAGATTTCTGTACACTGCCTTGTGACTTGCCAACATTGGTCACCGCGATTAATAGCTGCAACAAGACAAGATTAGTGTTACAATCATGCTATCTACTGTTACTTTACTTGTGTGTGTAAAGGGGGCATTTAGCAACGTGTTCCTGTATTATTGTTTTTCCCCATCTTCCCACTATTTCCCGCTAAATCCTGTACTTCCCATTACCAGCACAGACACTGTGTAATGCACGAGATGATCAAACACGTTCTGGGTGTTTGCCTTCACATCAGATACCTTGTAGGAATAGGCTAAACCAAAATATATATCAATTTTTGTTTTATTAACACAGTTTGTGTGTATGTGTGTGTGCGTGCGTGCGTTTGTATGTATCTGTGTGTGTATGTCTGCGTGTGTGCGCGTGTATGTGTGTGTGTGCGTATGCCTGTGTGTGCCCGTGTGTATGTATGTATGTGTGTGTGCGTGTATGTCTGTGTGTGTGTGTGCGTGTATGTCTGTGTGTGTGTATGTCTGTGTGCATGTGTGTGTATGTCTGTGTGTGTGCGTATGCCTGTGTGTGCCCGTGTGTATGTATGTGTGCGTGCGTGTGTGTCTGTGTGTGTGTGCGTGCGTGTGTGTCTGTGTGTGCGTGTATGTCTGTGTGTGTGTGTGCGTGTATGTCTGTGTGTGTGTATGTCTGTGTGCATGTGTGTGTATGTCTGTGTGTGTGCGTATGCCTGTGTGTGCCCGTGTGTATGTATGTGTGCGTGCGTGTGTCTGTGTGTGTGTGTGTGCCTGTATGTCTGTGTGTGTGCGTGTATGTCTGTGTGCATGTGTGTGTATGTATGTGTGTGTGCGTGTATGTCTGTGTGTGCGTGCGTGTGTGTGTGTGTGTGTGTGTGTGTGTGTGTGTGTGTGTGTGTGTGCACACGCAGGGTTCTCCTGACATATGTAATCTGAATCAATATCCTTTATGTTGGGTTGGGTCACCCCCCTTTTCAATATATTTCCACCCGGGGTATTTTGGCGGGTGTAATTGAGTCTGATTATTGACATGAAGTCCGCGATGTCGACTGAATCAGTACCTCTTGCTTGTCTCCCCTTGTTATGACCAGCGTATCGTTGTCCACGTACACCTCCTTTTGGTTGAGGGCGCCAAAGTCAACTCCGACCGACTTTCTCCCATCAGCTAGCTGCCTGATAAACTGAAATAGAGTTTGTTGTCAGGTGTTACCATGGCAACAAATCGGGTTATGTATGTCACAAGTTTATAAGACTTAGTTTAAATGTCTCCATGCAATATTGAAGTGAGTGCGTGATGTGGTGTTCGCGAAAAGGTTGGCGTAATGTGCTCCACAGGTGTCATTCGTCACAAACACATGCAAAGGAAAGTCAACTGTCCATCTGAACAAACACGGGAACATATGGTACAAATAGGGAATTGCTTCGGGCATTTTGGTCAAATTTGTAAATGCCCTCCACGTATCTACCATGAAGCATTTTTCAAATCTTCACTCAGGTCATCAAGTGTCGTAACGCAGATCAAACGCTCTCTGAAATCTTCTGAAAATATAAACGATCCTCGCAGTCGGGGTACGAATACATACACCATCCCCATTCTAGTCGGCGCTTACCACGAACATGAGAGAAGATTTTTGTCAGCTGATTTCCATCGATCCTATGAAAATGACCATTGAAAAATACTCTAACATTCTGCCGGAAGCAAGCGTACTTTTGTTGTTCACCGCTAATCTATCATGTCTTCTTTATCTTATGTTTTTCCTGTCCACCAGGATTTCTTTTATAGTCAAAAATAAGGTAAACGTGACATACAAAAGTAAATCATGACATACAAATGTAAACCATGACATACAAAAGTAAACCTTCACATACTAAGTAAATCATGACATAAAAAAGGAAACCATGCCATACAAAAGTAAACCATGACATTCTATAATCAACCATGACATACAAATGTAAACCATGACATTCTATAATAAACCATGACATACAAATGTAAACCATCATATACTAAAGTAAACCATGCAATACAAATGTAAACCATCACATACTAAAGTAAACCATGACATTCTATAATAAACCATGACATACAAATGTAAACCAGCACATACTAAAGTAAACCATGACATACAAAAGTAAACCATGACATACTATAATAAGCCATGACATACAAATGTAAACCATCACATACTAAAGTAAACCATGACATACAAAAGTAAACCATGACATACTATAATAAACCATGACATACAAATGTAAACCATCATATACGAAAGTAAACCATGCAATACAAATGTAAACCATCACATACTAAAGTAAACCATGACATACAAAAGTAAACCATGACATACTATAATAAGCCATCACATACTAAAGTAAACCATGACATACAAAAGTAAACCATGACATACTATAATAAGCCATCACATACTAAAGTAAACCGTGACATACAAAAGTAAACCATGACATACTATAATAAGCCATCACATACTAAAGTAAACCATGACATACAAAAGTAAACCATGACATACTATAATAAACCATCACATACTAAAGTAAACCGTGACATACTATAATAAACCATCACATACTAAAGTAAACCATGACATACAAAAGTAAACCATGGCATACTATAATAAACCATGACATACAAATGTAAACCATGACATACTATAATAAACCATTACATACAAAAGTAAACCACGAAATACTGAAGTAAACCATTACATACAAAAGTAAACCATGACATACAAGAATCTGGCCTGTGTACTGTGGATCTGTTCTGACCCGGAAACCCCACAGAGCGCATACGGCGAATACGGGACACCAGGAAACTATTCTAAGTACAGTCAGATCTGTTACTCCGATACTCTACGTCTCTGCCTCAATAGGGCAACGCCGAATGTCCCCGAACTGCCCAGTCTAAATGATGGGCGCATTGGGTTTTCTTTAACATCCTTTTCGTTTCATTTCCTTACATCCTCGATTCAGAAATTTCGATTTTAACAAGCGAAATCCCTTGACAATACAAACACTCTCTGTATAGTACACCCTTTTATGTGAAGATGCTATGACGCTCAGGGACCGCCTCCGTGGTCGAGTGGTAGAGCGTCCGCCCGGAGAGCGGAAGGTCCGGGGTTCGATCCCCAGCCCCGTCATACCAAAAGACGTTAAAAGATGGTACTTGTTGTTACCCTGTCTGGCTCTCGGCATTAAGAGGCTAAAACAAGGACTGGTCGGCTCGGAGTCAGTATTCTGTGTCTGAGTGGGGTATCCATGTTAAACTGCGGCATGGTATCTCAGTGAGCTAGCACTATAAATCGGCATCAGTCCGGACTAGTACAAGCAGCCACCCAAACATATACACGTACATGTACGTCGCTATATAAGTGCAATAATCTTGGACGCGACGTTAAACCCAATTTCACTTCGCCTTTGCCGCTCAGAATAACAATGCGTTGTTTTTGCATAATATTCTCCACTCGGAACTACCCGATTGTTTCAACATACAGTGTGAGTGAGTGAGTGAGTGAGTTTGGTTTAACGCCGCTTTAAACAGTATTGCAGTTATATCACGGCGTGTCAGCTTAATGTGGGAGGAAAGCCCGAAGTGATGCAGGTCTAAGACGTTTACCACTTCGGTGAAAGCCACGAGCACGGGTATGGTGCTGACAAACCTAGAAACATAATCGGGGCGATCCGGGATTCGAACCCACAATCATATGTTTCTGACGTGCCCAAGGGACGCAACTCTGCACAGCGAATCGCGGCGCCTTAGACGAGTGGGCCACCCGTGCCCCCTTCGACATACAGAAAACAGACACGTTGCTCCGACCTTTGATTCACATGACGTGGCCCAAATCTGTTTCGTTTTATCATGTTATTCTTCGTTAGTGAACTATGTATATTAGGTTCCGGATCGAAACAAACAAAAGGGTGCTTGTATTAGTTTGGTTTGTTTGTTTGTTTGTTTGTTTGTTGTTTAACGCCGCATACCGATACATAACGGCGGTCTGTAAATAATCGAGTCCGGACCAGACAATCCAGTGATTGACATGATCCACGCAATTGGGATACGATGACAACGATCCTCGCCTTCGTTTTGTTCTTGTTTGTTTTGTCCGCTCTGTAACGCCGCACACAGCAATATTCCAGCTATATGACGGCGGTCTGTAAATAATCGAGTCTGGACCAGACAATCCAGTGATTGATACCATGATCATCAATCTACGCAATTGGGATCGATGACATGCATCTACCAAGTCAGCGAGCCTGACCACCCGATCCCGTTAGTCGCCTTTACGACAAGCATAGTCGCCTTTTACGGCAAGCATAGGTTGCTGAAGACCTATTCTACCATGGATCTTCACGGGGCGGTACGGCTTTTGGAAAGTAGGAGAGCTGCCTCCACGAAAAATCAACAGGTTTTATTTTTAGTTTCCATTTGGACTCCCAATTTAAATTTCACATTGAGATTGGTATGTATCTTTCAACAATATTCTATTACTTGTACCCAGAAGGCGTAGAAGTGGCTCACGGTAAATCTTACAGCACAGAGACTTTTCTCATGGGACTAACCGTAGCCCCTGTTGTGACATGTAGAAACTGTGAGTAAGTGAGTGAGTGAGTGAGTATGGTTTGACGCCGCTAATAGCAATATTCCAGCAACATCACGGCAACGGACACCAGAAATTGGCTTCACACATTGTACCCATGTCGGGAATCGAACCCGGCTCTTCGGCGTGACCGCCCAAGTGAGTGAGTGAGTGAGTGAGTTAGTGAGTGAGTGATTTGCTTTTAACGCCGCTTTGAACAGTAATCCAGTTACATAGAAACTATGATATTAAACGATGAACGGATGACGGGAATCGGTAACTGCAGCTGCGTGGCGTTATCCTATCTTAAGCTCACCTGGTACATCGCTGTCGTGTTGTCAAGGTGCGGCCAGAGGGCCTCCCGGTTGTTAGGATCCGCTCCCCCGTGGTACAGCTGTTCAGTGCCGTAGTACACCAGCGGGATGCCCTACAAGATCATGTACCATTTCATATTACAGTAAACTACGGTTATAACGAACACGCTTATAACGAACTGACGGATATAACGAACTTACTTTTTGGTCCCGACAATTTGCTGTTATTATACTGTATATATGCTTATAACGAACTACGATTATAACGAACTAAAGTTAGGAGTCCCTTTGAGTTCGTTATAACCGTACTTTACTGTACTGCGATTTCGATGGTTCTGACTGCATCGGGAAATATGAAGGCCGCGTTTGAAATATCTAAGCTAGATCTAGACACAGACTAAAGATACCCTCTACTCACTTGACTGAAGAAGACATAGACTAGAGAGTTCCTCAGTAGTGTGACGTCCGGGGTCATATTAAGGAAACGTTGGAAGTCGTGGTTGTCAACGAATAATCCCAACACAGTTGTATCATTGAAGATTTCTTTCTAAAAGGTAATAACAAAATATAATTCAATATACTTGGAATGTGTGACAGCAACTGGAACATTTGATATATATATATTGATTTTGTGTTTTATTATTTTTATTTTATAGATTGATGATATCAATATACATAGGTAGTGTTGGAGGGTCGTACATACGTGGTCCAACTCTTGGAATCAAATGGTTCATTAACCGTCTATCCCTATATTCTAAAAATATCAATCAATTAGTATACGTGAAGGATATAGAGGTTATCACGCGAGTGTGTTTGGGGATGGTAAATATCCTGCATTAGGAATAAACATTGTATTTAGCGAGCCTTGGCGAGCTAAATACATAGTGTTTATTCCTAATACAGGATATTTACCATCCCCAAACACACAAGCGTGATAACCTCTTTATCATATAATGTCATTCTTTAATTCTGTGCTTTAAAATCGCTTTCCCTCTCTCACAAACATTACCGAAACATTGCGAGTTTTCCTGGAATGCGCGCATTAATATTTATTACGTCACAGGGTAAGTGATTAGTCAGTCGGACAGTGACAGTAGCCAATATAGTTCCAACTGAAATCTGTTTCTTATACAGTGGCGAAGCAACTTATAGGCAAAACAACAGTTGTTTTTAATTGCCTTTCGCGGCAATCCATCGGTCTGTCCGCTAGAGTAACTGCCCTTTGTCAAAGGGAAGCTACTCTAACTCTAGTCTTATGAGACGTCACGGCCACGGTCAGACGTTGTTGACAGTCGGATCTGTCATAACGTTAAGAAGTGTAGTCAGATGTACACACAGCGACAAAACTAAACAAGGTAACAATTCAAACATATTTCGGCCAAATCCAACTATTTTAATTTGTGGAGAAGGTTTCAAGCCGCAGAGGTCTACAAGCACAGATATGGCTACTGATCCCGCTTGGCTAGGCCTCGTGCCCTCGCAAAATTGTTTCGAAATTTATATCTCCAAAGTTGCCAAAACTTATAAAATGCCATATCTACGTCACAGTTAGACACTGATTTTCAGTATATTAGACTATTCTTTTGATAATGATAGCAATTATCCCTGTAGTTTATCCAGATTCCCGATGGTTAATTCTGACTCGATCGCCGAATGACGAGGGCGACGCCATGTTTGTTTATAAACAGTGAAAGTAGTCCCTACTTGACCTTTGATATTTGCATCTCTATCCGCATATGACCCCAACGGATATCGTTTTTATCCGTTGGCTTTATCCTGCCGAGAAACCTACCCATTATATGATAAAGAGTATTATCAGTGTTGTTTCAAAACGATGAGTGAAATACGTCCGACAGAGCGTGACTGTGTGCGGCAAACAACAACTATATCTCCGGATGTCATGTTATGATCGCCTTTGTGAAAACGCCCATGTGCTTCAAATATTCAGCAGTACCATTGACGCGCCCCGGTGTCAGTTTTATTTGAGTGTTGTTGAACACCGCACTCAGCAATATTCCAGCTATATGGCGGCGGTGTGTAAATAATCGAGTCTGGACCAGACAATCCAGTGATTGATATCATGAGCATCAATTCATGCAATTAGGGGGATAAGGTGACATGCATCTACCAAGTCACCGAGCCTAACCCCCCGTTAGTCGCCTGGCTCTTACAAGCATGGGTTTCTGGGGACCTATATCTAACGATAAATAATGTTTCATAGCTGGAACAGTCAGGTTTTCGTTTTTCGGAGAGAAGTTCCCAATTTGTATCCTTAATGTTTCTGGACGTCCTCCACAAGTGACAAAACTATTGTCGTGCAGTTTGTTCGTGTAAACGTTAAATCAACAAATCATCTGCAAGTTACTAAATGTGAATGTGCCCCAGGTTTCCAGAAACATATCTGACTTTTAATACTGTGTTGACATGTATGCTGCACGGATTATACAAATTATCATTCGTCACAGCTCGTGTCATTTCGGACAAGCCGACTGGTTCCCGTCTTGAGTCAACTTGGTTCCGTCTTCTCGCAATAGCCTTCGTATTGAACCACATTCGCCATTGCTTTGAAAGTGTACGTGGTTATTTTCTAATCATAACATACTTCATATTTACAACTACTTGTTATTCATTTGGGTGAAACAATTATGAACCCGGCCAATGGATCAGTGTACACTCGAATTTCATTCTCAGCTCCCTGGGGAGTACACAACCCAACTGCCCTGTGGGGCGTTAGAAGTTACCTGTAAGTGAATACTGTCTAGCAGTTGGGTCATAGGCTTCTTCTCGTTGAAACTCCTCCGCAGAGCCCAGTACAGGGGGAAGTTAAGCAACGCCTCCAGTGCGGAGCCCTGGTACGCCGCCAGGTAGCGCGGCCGGTCGTAGTAGTTGGCTTCCCCCAGACAGAACACCCCAGCAGATTCCTGGAACTCGCGCCAGAACGGCTTGGGAACCTAGTTTTGGACGGCGAGTGAGTGATTTGACATGCTTTGAATATCAATATGACAGTATCAGCTTAATATGAATGAGTGCATGAGTGAGTGAGTATTGTTCACACCGCCTTAAGCAATATTCCAGCAATGTCAGGGCGGGGACACCAGAAATAGACTTCACGCATTGTACCGGTACCAATGTGGGCAAACGAACCCGGGTCTTCGGTGTGACGAGCGAACGCTTTAACCACTTGGCTAGCCAACCCCAGGTGAAAATGAGAAGGTGTGTGTGTGTGTGTGTGTGTGTGTGTGTGTGTGTGTGTGTGTGAGTGTGAGAGAGAGTTGTGTTTAACGCCGTTTTAAACAGTATTCCAGTTACATCACGGCGTGTCAGCTTAATGTGGGAGGAAAGCCCGAAGTGATGCAGGTCTCAGACGTTTACCATTTCGGTGAAACCTACGAGCAGGGGTATGGTGCTGACAAACCTAGAAACATAATCGGGGCGAACCGGGATTCGAACCCACAATCATAGGTTTCTGGCGTGACCTGAGGGCAGTATTATTGCATTATGTGAATGGGTAGGAGATCGTGTATAATTAGATATTTTTGCGGGAGGTAATTGTTAATTTACTATAAACCATGATTTCTAGGTTAAGTAACAATGGCTAGCCTGTTAGAAAATTAGTACAGGCTTCAGAAGAAATTGTGATTGGGAATTCCGAATCTATATAAACTGCCGGGATAAAGAAAATAAACAAACAAGAAATGTTTATTCGATGTTGATGGATTTGATACGGGTATCATTGTTGTGTTTTAGACCTTAAATTTGCAGTGTTTTTGGCGACTGTTTTCAAACTGGTAACGTTGTGATAACCTTTCTACTTTTCTGGTCAAATCCTGTTTTACAAGTTTCCGTAGTTAATTTGGTTCGCCAACTGAAAGGCCAACTGCAGTTGATAAACTTCAGTTTGCCGATTAGAAAAGTGCAACATATTTTAAAAAATATACTGATTCAGACAACCGTAGTCTATTATTTATATTGTCTTACAAAGTCGCTAAAGAAGAATAATCATCATCATCATCATGTATTGTACGCTTCCGGGATGCTTGTCTCACCTCACACAATGTATCAATACGGAGACCGTCCACGTCGTACTCCCGCGTCAGGTTGGCAACCCAGTCTAAGAGGGTCTCTCTCACATTGGGCACTGATTGGTTCAAGTCAGGAAGGATTCCCAGTCGGCATTCCTCAATCTGGGTAGACAATAGAAGAGATTAGGTACAGGTGGTATTAATTTGAAGATTGATATCTATAAATTTCTTGCGTTTCTTAATCGAGTTTGAGTTGTGTAGAAGTGTGTGTCTAGAGGCAGTGGCCAGTAGCAGAGACTAAATCCTGCTGAAATGTTTGCGGTGGATAAAGAACAATTCTTATCCTGATGTGTTCAAAATATGTCCTTTTTTGACAACATTAAAAGAAACTGTTTTGTTTACCGCCCGATATCTTTGCACATAAATACCTTGTACAGTCCATATGATCACATACAGCCGGCCCGTGAAGATATCCGGGGGAGAATAGGTCTTCAGCAACCCATGCTTGCCCTAAGAGGTGGCTATGCTTGTTGTAAGAAGCCACCAACGGGATCGGATGGTCAGGTTGCTGACTTGGTTGATGCATGTCATCGTATCCCAATTGTGTGGATCGATGCTCATGATGCCAATCACTGGATTGTCTGGTCCAGGCTCGATTATTTACAGACCGTCGTCATATAGCTGGAATATTGCTGGGTGCGGCGTTAAACAACGAATCAACCAACCAACCAACCAACATACAGCCCATGTCCCGTTAGGCCAAACGGCCCCCACTGCCTCGACTGACAAGCAGGGGATGAAGGGATTACTCCGGATGTCAAACTGCTGCATCCTTTTGTATTATATTTTTACTTAAAGTTTTGCTAACCAATCAGCTTTGGTAGGTCCAAACATTAAAATGTAGATTATTAATATTACGATCTGTGTAGCTAAACATTTATTTTACACATTGCTTTTAGTCATGAATGTTAAATATATTTACAGAACCATAATAAAAAAGAGATTTTATATCTCTCTTTATAACGTGTTTGCAATTATCAGAGACTATAGCTTTTAATCACTTACTGAGTTTAAGGTTATTTTTGTATGATTATAGTTGTTGTATCGTGTCGTTGTTCTGATAGACCGGAGATAGGTGGTCCGGTAAATATGTGGATTTTTTCATATTTGTATATTTTCTGATTGTTGCTTTTGGCTAAGGTTGGTGGAATCCATAAACCGAAAAATGCTTCATAAACAAACCAATTTCAAAACATATTCTTGTTGCTCGTGACATTTAAAAAACCCAACTGATCCGGTGGAAAGGGGGGACGTTCATGTTTTATTATTTCTTTTATCATTTTTATTAAATCTAGAAATTTAAACCGCTTGAGATTTGAAAAGGTGGGACGGTTGCCACTCTGAATGGCACTGGCTTTGCTTATATCTAATTCTGGTGCAAAAATGAAATTGAGTTTAAAATGTTGTTTCTAGTAGAGCTTGAAATTAAAATAAAGAGAAGGGGGCATTTTAGGGGCGGATGGGTCTTGGGAAAAATCTGTTGTTTTTATTTTATAAGCCTGTCATAAATTAGCTTAGTCAGGCTCATTCGTGACCAAGTCGTGTTAATCTGGGACAAGCCGAATGGCGGCTCGTGCCCCTCTCATGGCCATTTTTGTGACCGGGTTCCGTCTTAGCGCAAACGGGCATACCTAAAACAATTGTCAACTCGTTGCGTAATGGTTCACATATTATTTCCCCATGTGTTATATATATTTCAGATGCAATTTAAAGCACATTGGGGCATGCGGAATTATACAGTATGACTGAACACATTTAACTGTGTCTTGGGTATATTTTTAGATGCAAGACATGTAAAATCAAAAATTATTTCTGAGGGATTCTTTGACGAAGACCTTGAAATCATACGCGCATTCTGATTGGTTTGTCGTATTTTCGCACATAACATTCATCGATAGGGGGACGAGTCTTCTTGCAGGTTACGGAAAGGGGCGAGTGGTGACGAATGAGTCAGGCTTAGTCAGCTGTATACCTCGGACTGGTTAGACGACCCTTGGATGTAGCAAAGCTCATGGTAGTGCTCCTGCTGGTCAAAGGGAACAAACTCTGTGAAGTTGGTGAGTTTCTTTGCCGGGCAGGAACGGTCACTACAGCCACTGGTTCGGCCCATGTGGTTGGCGACCCTGAAAGTGAGTTAGTAAATGCAGAGACCATATAATAGATATAGATATACGGTCTCTGGTAAATGTTCTCAATTCCGGAGAAGTACAGCGAAATGGCACCGCGCCATGTATATTAACATTGGCTTTTAGACACACGTGATGCAGAGGGCGTAATAGTCCATGAGCCAGACCCCTGGTTTTTATGTTTGACTACCAAATGGAGGGACAAATTTCCATTGTGGTTTTCAGATAGCCTGATGTCCAAACCACATGAAATCACATGATGGACATCCCACATGTCCAGCTAAATGTCATTTTGGCCGCCATTTTGAAGATGGCCGCCATTTTTTTCCAATTTGCTCCAAATTTCAGAAATAAGCATGAAACACAGAATTTAAATATAAACAAATTGTCGGATGGAGGTCACGAGGCAGTATGACGACAAGCAAACACTTCGCATCTGATTGTTTTCATATTGTGTATTGATAAACAGAAAGCTACGCGATAAATCGCAAAGAACAATGAAGAGCGATCATTCGCTCTCAACTTGATGACGTCGACGTTATTTTTTAGAGGAAGTGTCTAGGGAGTTTTTCCACATAGATTTAACAATGCAACGCAGATAAACGCAATGGCCGTACGATCGCATCCATAAGTGGGTACGAGATATGACAGTTGGTATTGGGAGAAAAGGTACAGATAACGACGTGATTGTGAGAATATGCGGCAAATACCCAACTTTTCATAAAATAGACTTTTGCGACATTGCCGAGGTCGGATTCTATTCAAGTAGTCATCATTATTAAAACACGTGTAAATAGTTTTAAAGCTTGTCCCCCATGCTTATAGAGGCTGTACATAATGTTGATAAAACATATAAGAAATATACGACCCGTTGGAGTTGTAATTGTATAATAAAACACACCTTATGGTTTATTCTCCCTGCAGAGGGTTTTCTAAGTAGGCGTACACCTCGGGGAGTAGGGAACACTGTATTCTTTGCGAGGCCGTGCATCTCAAGCCGACAGGATTACACGGCCACACTGAAGATACACAGACCGCATTCCCAAGGGATATTCTCCACTCGGAACTACCCGATTGTTTCGACATACAGTGTGAGTGAGTGAGTCTGTTTTAACGCCGCTTTTAACATTATTCCAGTTATATCAGGGCGTGTCAGCTTAATGTGGGAGGAAAGCCCAAAGGGATGCAGGTCTCAGACGTTTACCACTTCGGGGAAACCCACCAGCACGGGTATGGTGCTGACAAACCTAGAAACATAATCGGGGCGAACCAGGATTCGAACCCACAATCATAGGTTTCTGGCGTGCCCAAGGGACGCAATTCTGCACAAGGAAACGCGGCGCCTTAGACGACTGGGCCACCCGTGCCCCCGGATACGCGTAGACCTTATAATATTCATATAATTTATTTAACATAATTTCGTAAATCCTTTGGTAATTTTATTCATTTTTGTCTTCCTTGGATAAGCATAGATAGAGGGTAAAACCCACTTTGAGCACTATGTTAGACATGTCTTTGCGGGAGACACCAGAAATGGGCTTCACACATTATACCCATGTGGGGATTCGAACCCAGGTCCGCCATAGGGTATAGACCAACTATTGAATGCTGTGCTACCCTACCGGTGCCTTGTTGGATAAGGTAAACACTTACACGTCGAACATGACCCAGATATCCCGCTTGTGACATTCAGCTATCAAACTCTTCAGTTCCTCCTTGGTTCCAAACTCTGGGTTAACTTTGTAAATGTTCTTAGCCCAGTATCCATGGTAACCGTTGACAGTATTTTCGACTGTTGGAGAAATCCATATGGCATTGGCACCTGGTTGAAAATAAAATCAATAACGTGTAACAAGGGAGGTATAAAATCAACAGTATTTTTCAGGTGTTTTTTTTGTCCTTTTATGTTTTCAGTAATATGAACTTAAAATTCAAGAGGTTATTCGCACGGGGGCTAGTTTAAAAGATTAGCCTATATATACATAGGCAATCTCACAAGCGAATCTACTCTCAAAGTCTCAGTACTTTTCATCCTCGATGATACAGGGCAGTGTCTAGAGAATGTCAATCAAGTATTTCAAAACGAGGCGATATAGGTTTTAAACTCCGAGGCTTGAACTGTTGTTCAATTTGATTATGTTTTTTTAACCATCACTCATTCCTCCAACAGTTTGTGAAAAGTAATGTGTGGCTTGGTAATTTAGTGTACAAATTGAACTTGTTCGATGAAGACTGGGGTAAGAAATTAATTTGCAACCACATGACCCCTACCGTGTTTGAAATGCACATTGGTGCCGAATTTTCAAAAATTGAATTTCAAAGATAAGTTGTCCTAAATACCCATTTTCATGCAATTGTTTTCAATTTTTAAAAGTTTGAAATCACATTATAATATTATTTAAAATGCCCCAACAAAAATGACTTCGTAGAAGTATTCCTTAAGTGCTGACTAAGAGAGATTACAGTTTATTTTTAAGATCGCGAACTAAATTTCAATTGGAAATCAAACATATGATAAAATCAACTGTGAGGTACAGTTTCTTTTGTTCCTCGGTTGATAACAAACAGTAAGAGTACGAACCAAGGCCTTGAATGTAGTCCAGGTTTTCCTCGATCCCTTTAAACGTCCCGCCACAGTAACTTCTCAGATCACTGCAAGTTGTGTTAGGGTTGTCTCCCTTTTGTGAGAATCGATCTGTCAGCAACTGAAACGTATCGGTCAAGGTAAACTTATAATTATGTCATGGAAAATAAAGAATTTGAAAGTTTGTTATTGTTCATCCCAGCGACCTCATATCTTTACCAACGTAGACTACAAGAATAACAACAATTGAAGTGCTAAATGATATTCTTATTTGGACCACCGACCCAAGGTTTTTGGGAAAGAAATCTATGACCTGCTAATAATACAGAAAGTTCTAAATACGCTTCAGCTGTAGAATCAAGTAGGAATAAATAAAACTAATTAAATCAAAATGAATACAATTCAGCGAACGAATATATGATTTAAAAATACGTTTTCGTAATAGTTACCTGATATATAATTCTTGATTTCCATTCTTCTGCCGTTTTGGCAGCACAAAAGGCAAGAATCACAGTTAAAACTCCCCATCTGAATGTCTCCATCGTGTCTGTCGGTGTACGAAGGGAGAGGAGTAACTGACACTTATATATAGTTGTTCCCCAAATAGCATCGGCCCCTGGATTCCTGGATTGTCGGGACACGGCGACATGTGCAATCACACCATCCAATGTGAATGTTCCATATCTCGTGATTTCGACATCATTTCCCTTTGAGCTGGACTTTAAAACTCTCTTGTGTTTACATCAAACCTTGAGTCATCAATATTTTTGCAACACATTTCACAAGGCAGATTGAAGGGGTTAACGACAGAATAATGTGCACTTATTTCTCAGTCTACAATGTAGCAAAAAACACGACCAATGCTTAAAGACGACGTGGTTTCAAGCGCAGATAGATATTCGAAAAGCTGGGATGCACTGATTATTTGGAAAGGGAGGGTAAGGTAGGACAAGTTGCTTCTATTGTGCAACGAAGTTGTCAATTATTTGTTTTTCTTTTGTTTTTGTGTGTGCAATATGTCATCAAATGAATAAGGTATATGTTTTAAAAGTATTTATACCTCAACATCGTAAGATTGCTTCAAAAAGGGTGGGAGGGGGTGGTAGTTGCACCCATCTCCACCCCGACCCCCACACCCACCTTTTGGATTCGTGTACGTGTTTGGATCTTTTGGAACTGCTATACCATGCGTAGGATTGAGTCGTCACGCAAAAACGCCATCTTGTCACCCAGCCCGCTAACTAACATTGTATCATATAGATGAGTGAGTGAGTATGATTTTACGCCGCCGCTTTTAGCAATATTCAAGCAATATCACGGCGGGGGACACCAGAAATGTATCCATGCAGGGTTTCGAACCCGGATCTTCGGCGTTACAAGCGAACCCGGATCTTCGGCGTTACAAGCGAACGCTTTAACCACTAGGCTACTCCACCGCCCATGATATAGATGAATCTAGCAGTGTATCCTGTTTACACAGACACTCCGTCCCAACCACATCACAACGTCTAGACCTAGGTCGTAAACAGCTCACGACCTCGGAATATTTCCTTTTACTCCGGATATAGTGGTGTTAGCAAGCGTGAATAATCACGTGAACTTTAATCCGAGCAGGCCGTGGTGTTGTGTTATTGGTTATTGTGCATTTGAAATACGAGATGAACAAGTGTGTGTGTGTGTGTGTGTGTGTGTGTGTGTGTGTGTGTGTGTGTGTGCGTGCGTGCGTGCGTGCGTGCGTGCGTGCACGGGTGGCCCAGTCGTCTGAGGCGCCGCGATGTGCAGAGTTGCGTCCCTTGGGACAGCCAGAAACCTATGATTGTGGGTCCGAAACCTGGTTCGCCCCGATTATGTTTCTAGGTTTGTTAGCACCATACTGTGCTAGTGGGTTTCACCGAAGTGGTAAACGTCTGAGACCTGTATCACTTCGAGCTTTCCTCCCGCATTAGGCTGACACGCCGTGATATAACTGGAATAATGTTAAAAGCGGCGTTAAACCCAACTCAGTAACTCACTCTTTATGTTGAGATGCGGAAGTGGGATTTAATCGCTTTTAAACAATATTACTGCATGAAGCACATTCCTAAAACATATTCTTTTATTCTTTGAAAATTTTAATTTTACTGTTGTTTATTTGGGATGACGATGACCCTGGGGTCACTGAATTTAATTTTATTTCAATTAATATTTAGAATTAAATTCTGTCCAGCAATGTTTATATGAAATATACACCGGTTGTGGTGAAATATCTGGTTATTTACATTACCCAGTGAAATATACTGATAGAAATGACAAAAGGAACGCTATGTTTTAGACAGTAAAATGATATGCTATCATGGGTTCCCAGCCTGTCTACCAAACACACTTGTAAACAGTGCATACAAACACATCCCAAGATTTGATTCTGACGTGTGTTGAGTTTGTATATACTGACAGTATAGCTATTTCCCTATCCAATTTTTATTGCCCCCTTATTCGTTTCCATCTGTATATTCTGAAATTTCACAGGGAAAGAAGTTTTGAGATGTGACTTACTTTTTACCCTATTGCGCATAAAACGACATCGAGTGACCCAGGTGTGTCGGGACGGGCGCTGTGTTGTGTTGGGTGCACACTTATAATACCGATCAATCTGGAAAGGACCCGTGAAGATCCGGGGTAGAATAGGTCTTCAGCAAACCATGCTTGCCGTGAAGATCCGGGGTAGAATAGGTCTTCAGCAAACCATGCTTGCCGTGAAGATCCGGGGTAGAATAGGTCTTCAGCAAACCATGCTTGCCGTGAAGATCCGGGGTAGAATAGGTCTTCAGCAAACCATTTCGTAAATATTTTTGAATAATTCAGCACAAATTCAACAGGATATGTCTGTGGCAATAGCTGCGGAACATGAATGTTGATTTCATAAAAAGTTCTCTGCTTAGAGTATCGATATGTGATATAGTCCACTCCTATCAAGCAAAGAAAATAAGAAAAATCCTGGTAGGCTTGAATGGATGTAGGCTAGTGCACATGCTTGCCTCGGGATGATGCTCGTGTTGATGCTGCAATATGTTGATGTACATGTCTATTACATGTCTGAATTGTTACCTTGAAGATCCAGGGTAGAATAGGTCTTCAGCAGCCCATGCTTGCCGTAAAAGGCGATTATACTTGTCGTTAGAGGTGGCTAACGGGATCGGGTGGTCAGGCTCACTGACTTGGTTGATGCATGTCAATGTATACTAATTGCGTAGATCGATGCTCATTCTGTCAATCACAGGATTGTCTGATCCAGATTATTTACAGACCGCCGTCATATAGCTGGAATATTGCTGAGTGCAGTGGTTAAACAGTAACCAACCAAACAATTAATCTACATGTAGTTTTCATAGAGGCAGTCGATCATTTAACTATACTGAACAACAAAAATTCCTGTGACATTGAATAAGATTTAAGATTAAGATAAGAATAAAAGTTATGTTTTTAACTAAATCTGCAACAGATAAAAGACTCCTTTTTGTAAGTGTTCAAATGGTTTTATTTGCCATACTGACTTCAGAAAATGCGTGATTTCATAAAACAAACATGAACATGCCAAAATGTTAATTTACAAATCAATAGCGTGTGTGTCCACCTCTGGTTGCGACGCAAGCAACACATCTTCGTCTCATCAAATGGACCAGGCGTCGCACAAAGTCCTGTGGGATATCTGTCCATATCTGCTGGAGCATGTTTCGAAGCTCCTGGAGTGTCTATGGAACACGTGGTTGACATCGAAGGCGCCGATCCATCTCATCCCACATGTGCTCGATTGGTGAGAAATCAGGGGAGCGAGTCGGCCAGGGGATGACATCCACGTTGTTTTGTTGAGGGAATCCCGAACAAGTCGAGCAATATGAGGCCGGACGTTGTCATGTTGAAAGGTAATGCCTGGGCCATGACGACGCAAAAACGGTAGAACAACAGGGCCGATGATCACGTCGCGGTAGCGCTGTCCATTGAGATTTCCCTCAACCACTATCAAAGGTTCCTCTGTCTTGCTGTAATCCCAACCCATACCATAACGCTGCCGCCCCCGAACCGATCTTCTTCCATGACACAATGATTGACGTAACGTTCACCTCGACGTCGGTACACTCGAATCCGTCCATCGCTGTGGCTGACGTGAAAACGAGACAGTGAATAGTGAGTGAGTGAGTATGGTTTTACGCCGCTTTTAGAAATATTCGAGCAATATCACGGCGGGGGGACACCAGAAATAGGTTTCACACATTGTACCCATGTCGGGAATCGAACCCGGGTCTTTGGCGTGACGAGCGAACGCTTTAACCACTAGGCTATCCGACCGCCCCGTCAGTTAATAGGACTTGTCCTGTCAAAATGGGACGTCTGGCGGGTCTTCTGGCGACAATCCCTGCACATCTGAGGCGACGACGTACGGTTTCTGAAGATATTCGTCGAAGGCCAGGGATGCTTCTTGCAGTCACTGTTGCTGGCTTGAATCGATTTCGTATGTTGTTCGAATCCAGTTGTCTTGTCGATTATCGGTTACGCGTGGCCTGCCACTCCGAGGCTGGTCTCTGACTGCATTCGTCTGTTGCCAACGTTGCTACGTTGACTCGATCCTGCTTCAAGCATACCAATGGCTCGCACACTCTTATTTTCGGACAGGCGTGGCATTTCTTAATGTTGAATAATTGCGTAATTTTGTTGTTTTTCTGAGTGGTTGTTGTCAGCACGATGCTAAACAATGCATATAGAGTCCCGTTAACGCACATGTTTTTATACCCATTCTTGGGTAGTGAAATGCACGGGGCTTGCAAAAAAGTCAACTTTTGCATGGAATGCATGCTTTTGTGTAGCAGTTGCGTTTTTTGTGACTTGATTCCATACATGTACTACAATATTGAAAACCAAGCTTTACACTAAATATACTAAAATATTTGTGTCACAGGAACTTTTGTTGTTGAGTATATAAAAACAGATAATGCTAAAACGATTCTGGTTACGAAGAATGAAATGCGACTAAACAAAGTATCTATATTATTTTTTTAAAAATGAAGAAAAAAAAGGATTAAAATGGTTGAAAATAACTTTATTCCAGCATTAAGATAGGATATTTTATAGAACACAACCAAAACATAATTTTGTAATCATATATTATGAATAACAACATACACATATAAAGTTTGTTTTTAAATAGTTATATATATCTTTACATAATGGTTGTTTTACGATTTAATCATATATGAACAAATGACTCAATACAAAACAAACAACATGGGCATTATTACCAGACATCTATAAGAAATTGAGAGAATATATTTGTATACAAACACTAAATGTTTTTACATTTTCGGATATTTTTTCAAAAATAAAAATCTATTTTATTTCACACATGTATAAGAAACCAAAAACTGTCTTTATATGAACATCATTGTTTTCATATTTGTAAAGTCGCTTCATATAGCTGACAAATAGCTGGCGCGAGGTAAAATATTAGTTCTCGCCATTTCATATCTTCATTTAGTAATACAAAGGAGACACGTATATCTTAATATGAGTGAGTGAGCGATAGTGAGTTTTACGCCGCCTTTAGCAATATTCCAGCAATATCACGGCGGGGAACACCAGAAAGGGGCTTCACACATTGCACCCGTGTCAGGAATCGAACCCGGGTCTTCGGCGTGACGAGCGAACGCTTTAACCACTAGGCTACCCGACCGCCCCTGTTAATATGAAAAATGTCATTACAAAATGAACAATTTTCCTTATTGAACATGCTAATCCGCTATAAATATATACATTTTTTAAAAGATCAACGATTTTTTCTACATTCACGAACCCTGTATGGACACAAAACAATGACACCCTGTATAAAAACAATAATCATTCAACAATATAGCATTTATGGAAACACGTTAGGAACCGCTTAAGATCTATTTCCAAATGTAATAGTCATCATTTGAAATTGTATATTTTTTTACTCTATGACAGGACGCAATTATATTTGCTTACAAAGGGGCAAGCTCATATGGAAGTAGAGAAACTGAAATCTATAGTCTCTTAATATAAGTTTGGTGTGTGCTCCACGGCAATTGTTGTTTGACTGCCTTGCAATGGTTTTCTCTGCTTCGTGTGACATGATGTGTGATCCAGTACTTGCAACCACCTTGGGAAACCAGTGGTTGGTTGGTTGGTTGGTTGTTTAACGCCGCACTCAGCAATATTACAGCTATATGGCGGCGGTCTGTAAATAATCTAGTCTGGACCAGACAATCCAGTGATTAATATCATGAGCATAGATCCACGCAATTGGGATCAATGACATGCATCAACCAAGTCAGCGAGCCTGACCACCCGATCCCGTTAGTCGCCTCTTACGACAAGCATAGTCGCCTTTTACGGCAAGCATGGGTTGCTGAAGACCTATTCTACCCCGGATCTTCACGGGTCGGAAACCAGTGGTATCAGTTGTATTCTTGGTCATCTCTCAAATTGAGATTGGTGTATATATGTACAAGGACGTTAGGAATATCTGACAATAACCAAGGAGTGATGCTTAACATTTTTCCGGGTGAAAATTTTATAAAAATTTACGACTTAACCGATATGTTATGCCTTATGATTTAACATATCAATACATGGCTACACTGTCAATGCAACACAAACAGCAAGGACATTCTTAACAGACATGTATAAGAATAATTTGAGATAAATGTATTTGTATACAATTAACACTAAATGTTTTGATGCATTTGAATTATTTTCAAACATATAAATATAAGTTTATATATTTTTTTATTTTACACATGCATAAGAGAACAAGAACTATCTTTTAAGAAACATTATATAAATATTGTTTCCGTATTTTCAATTAAACCTTCATATAGCTTACAAATAGCTGGAACGACGTAAAATATTAGTTCTCTCCATATTTAACATATACTCATTTATAAACACAAAAATGTATTTCTTCATATGAAGAATCTCATTACAATTCTGAATATTTGTGTTTATGTAACATAAGTTAACTTGCTATTAACATCCATTATCTACACGCACCCTGGCATACACACACAAAGATGACCTAACCTTGACATCTGTTAAACGCAGCCTGCATGAAGTCATGGATCTCCTGAGCCCGAGCTCTGTTCCTAGGGAGATCCTGGTGGCACTTTTGAACGACCTCGTGGAGGTCCATCAAATTGCTTGCCACTTTAATCTCACTCAGGACAGATCCCAAAGCATAAACATCTGCCTGTGGGGAGGTGACACAGCCCAGCCTCACCTCTGGAGCAAGTCCAGGTTGGTGGCGTGTAGCGCTGGGCAGCTTGACTCCCTTCCCGAAGGACGCCTGTCCAAAGCCAACCAGCTTCACCTCCAGCGTGTCCTTGTTGATGATGATGTTACTGGAGCAAATGTTATTGTGAAGGACACGGCGGCTATGGAGGGTCTTCAGGTGGCTGGCCAGGGTCAGGCAGATGTTTGTCCAACCGGATCTGGAGACGAAATATCCAGACTTAAGGAGGTCCTGGAGCGAGATGAAGCCTGTGCAGTCCTCCAGGACAAGACTGTATTCCCTCTCCAGGACGCCCTGCTCCAGAACCCCCAACAGATGCGGCGTGACACTTGTGCCAGAGAGAGAGGATATTACTTTGGCCTCGGTCATCACCTCAGCTACAGGCCGGTTAGACTCTGTTCGGTCCTTCACAAGAACAGCTGTGTCCTCCACAGTGGCATGGAAGAAGGTTGAAGTGGAGCCACGACCATGCACGGAATATTCGTCTTCATCAGTTCTCTTGAATTGAACCTGCTGCCTTCCTAGTATTGATGGAACGTCATCAGGAAGAGCACCCTGGCTTTTGATGTTCCAGAATGCATCTTCTGAAGGGTCGTACCCAAAGGCCTGTTTCAGAATATCCCCTGCTGGTGTTGAAGCCTTGGGTGCGCCTGGCATGTCATCCCTTGCTGATGGTGAGGCATTGGGGACGCCTGACAGGTCAGACGAGCATCTGTCACCTGTCGACTCACACCCCTCATCCCCCCTCGACCTCTGGGACATCCACATCTTCCGATCCGTGTTGAGAAGGGATCCACGGGTCCGTGGTCGTCTCTTCCTGGTTTCGACCACTGTCCCCAGATGCGGGGTTGGAGTATTGACCGGCTGTGTCTGTGGGGAACTTTCCGGGGTCTTATCCAACCTTCCCTCCGTGGTAATGTCAGAGGGAATTCCAATTACATCTGAACTTCCAGGGAATGTTTCTTCCTCAGCAGCCGGCTTGATGACGATTTCTTTGGTGTTCCTTTTTAATTCCTCCTCGGCAGATGTTTGGAATTGTTTAAAATGTCCATCTGGATAGGTGCGGCCAAAGGGCAGGAGTCGGTTCTTGTACCACATCCACAGAGGCTTCTGCTTCCGTTTGTGTCCATCTTGGAAGACGCCAATAGCTGTTTCCTTGCACCAGGTGCCGCTCAGGAAGTTAGAAGTTGTATTCTGAGACCGTGCCATGTTCCTGGTAATGAAATAAACAACAGTAATGTTAGCAGTTGTAATTGGAGTTTGTAGTCATAGGGGTGTGTACACAAATGTTGAGATTTCATTAAATGCGATATCCGGTTTTTATTTACCTGATTTGATGTGAAGTCATTGATGCGCGACACTCGGGTGGAAGACGGCATCGCTCATTGTTGTCGGCAATGTTGGTGAGCCCGGTACGCATTGCCTGCAAAAGATGACCAGACCTTTAATGTTATTCCTGTTTGTTAAAACCGGCTCAGGAAAAACCAAAACACATACCTATGCTCCTCTTTGAAATTGAAAGTGGTGATTATTATTAACAAATAAACCAATCTGTCACTACACGTGTGTACATACCGAAATACCTTGGAATGTTATGTCTCAATTTGAGGCGTCAACATAATGTCCTCCCGGCATTCAATGTAGGCGGCCGTGTCCCATCCGTCCCTTCGTTCCGAAGAAAACATCAATATATTTATTCTGAATATTATTTTAACATAATCACCAAATTGTGTAAAGGGGTAGTTTTTGCAATTTTCTTTTTGTGCTTGAATATTTGGTGTTGTCGGAGAAACAGGTGAGACGTAGATTGAACGAGCGGTTCGTTTCCGAAGCAGCATTCAATAAATTTGATCAATTCTTTACTGGCAGATTAATGATGAGACAAAAAAAAGATAGAAAACTCGGATCAAATGATTGCCGACGGTAGTTGCTTTCTCGAAGTGAACTACTGTTGTTGGTCGCGGTTGGGTAGCCTTGTGGTTCAACGTTCGCTCGTCACGCCAAAGGCTCGGGTTTCGATTCCGACGCATGAGTACATCGTGTGCAGTACATTTCTATGTTACCCCGCCATTGATGGGATATTGCTAAAGCGGCGTAAAACCTTACTCACTCACTCTCGTTCTTACCTTCAATCCCTTGTTGACAAGGACGTACACCAACGGGACGCTGTGTAGACTGCCTTCAGCCATCATGTACATACACTTTCTTCAACAATGATAAGACGTCTTGATCACAGGAGCGACTGAGTCTTAGTGACGGAGTGTTTGTTGTGACGTCATAGACAGGCACGTGATAATGACGTCATCTTAGTGTGACGTCATAGTGTAGTGTAGTTTTTACTTAGTACGAGCAGCATCAATACTGCGGCTAAAATGAGTGTAAAGGCAGAGAGGTTATCACGCGAGTGTGTTTAGGGATGGTAAATATCCTGCATTAGGAATAAACATTGTATTTAGCGAGCCTTGGCGAGCTAAATACTTAGTGTTTATTCCTAATTCGGGATATTTACCATCCCCAAACACACAAGCGTGATAACCTCGATTATCATATAATGTCATTCTTTAATTCTGTGCTTGAAAATCGCTTTCCCTCTCTCACAAACATTACCGAAACATTGCGAGTTCTCCTGAAATGCGCGCATTAATATTTATTACGTCACAGGGTAAGTGATGTGTCACTCGGACAGTGACAGTAGCCAATATAGTTCCAACTGAAATGATCTGTTTCTTATACAGTGGCGAAGCAACATATACGCAAAACAACAATATTGTTTTTAATTGCCTTTCGCGGCAATCCATCGGTCTGTCCGCTAGAGTAACTGCCCTTTGTCAAAGGGAAGCTACTCTAACCTTAGTCTATGAGACGTCACGGCCACGTTCAGACGTTGTTGGCAGTCGGTCTGTCCTGTTATAACGTTAAGAAGTGTAGTCAGATGTACACACAGCGACAAAACGAAACAAGGTAACAATTCAAACTGTTTAGGCCAAATCCAACTATTTTAATTTGTGGAGGTTTCAAGCCGCAGAGGTCTACAAGCACAGATATGGCTACTGATCCCGCTTGGCTGGGCCTAGTGCCCTCGCAAAAAATGTTTCGAAATTTATATCTCCAAAGTTGCAAAAACTTATGAAATGCCTAAGCGACGTCACAGTTAGACACTGATTTTCAGTATATTAGACTGTTCTTTTGATAATGATAGCAATTATCCCTGTAGTTTATCCAGATTCCCGATGCTTTATTCTGACTCGATCGCCGAATGACCAGGGGGACGCCATGTTTGTTTATAAACAGTGAAAGTAGTCCCCACTTGACCTTTGATATTTGCATCTCTATCCGCATATGACCCCAACGGATATCGTTTTTATCCGTTGGCTTTATCCTGCCGAGAAACCTACCCATTATATATGATAAACGAATTTATCGCAACAGTTAGTTACCGACTTCACCCATAGAAAACAGCTTGGTGATAGACCCATGAACAATAAAATGAAATACATTTGAAATACAATATGAGCAAGCATTTACTTGGATATCAATTTCGGATTTCATGCTTGACAATTCCTTAAACTCCAGTCATAACATTCATGGCAATGGTGCTTGTGTATATGGAAATAACAATAATTCTATGTTTCAAAGGTGTAGCTTCATATTGAATAAACGTCGATAGTCAGTTCATATCGCGATCATCCGCAAATCCCGTCACCTCATTTGAGTTTGTTTCAAAGATGTAAAATCCAGATTTTGGTCCGTTGTTTCTTCTCTCGTCCAAGCTCCTGTGCTTATGCACATTGATGGGACGGTGATATTGCCCAGTGGTTTATGCGTTCGCTTGTCACGCCGGAGTGCCGGGTTCGATTCCCCACACGGGTACAATGTGTGAAGCACATTTATACCGTCCCTTGCCCTGATGCTGCAGGAATATTGCTTAAAGCGGCGTAAAATAAAACTCACTCACAACACATATGAGATTCGCTGATCACCAGACTACGAAGGCTTCGACGACAACTTGTCCACCCTCACCTTGATCGCCCACAAACGTGACAGGGAAAGGACGGCTCCTTGTCTACCCCGCATCACTTCCGTGACTTCTTCCTGGAACTCGAAGAGGCAAACATCGACCCAGAGCCAAAGGGAACGTCCGGAATCCCCAGATTCTTTTGAGGTGTTCGCCGGTTCAGTTGGGGCTGATCGCCGGTTCTCTTGGGGTGTTCTCCCACCCTTTTGGGGTGTTCTCCCGCTCTTCCGGGGCACGGGTGGCCCAGTCGTCTAAGGCGCCGCGATTCGCTGTGCAGAGTTGCGTCCCTTGGGCACGCCAGAAACATATGATTGTGGGTTCGAATCTCCCACATTAAGCTGACACGCCGCGATATAACTGGAATACTGTTAAAAGCGGCGTTAAACCCAACTCACTCACTCTCCCGCTCTTCCACTTCGAGCCACTGTGAGCGCTTAATACATCTAGATGTCAGAGATGTCACATCGGAAGGACCGGTTATTGTTATATTTAGATACCAAAGACATATTGCAATTATTTAAGGGTCATAAATTTTATCATTTAATAGTTTATAGTTGTTATAAATAAATTATCAACTATTTATGCACCATATAAGCACGAGTGAAACAACAATACAGCCTATACCAGCTGGCAGCTCGCAACAAAGGTTGAGGTGACCCCAATGTAATGGAATCTTCCTACACTGCAACGAAGTCAACATTTTGCCTTGGAAACTCAAAATCGCAACAAAAATATCACGACTAGCCAACCGCACCAGTTCAGCACTTGTCTGGTTTTTAGGCACAGCTTATTGAACAGCTTACAAGTTCGGAAATAAACCCTACTCCCATTTAAACGTAATGGTTAAAGCGTTCGCTCGTCACGCCGAAGACCCGGGTTCGATTCTGGTGTCCCCCGCCGTGATATTGCTGGAATATTGCTAAAAGCAGCGTAAAACCATACTCACTCATACTAAACGTAATGTGTCGGGCGTGTTGCATTGGAAACACATATTGTATATTTCCTGTATACCACATGGCATCTGTTCGACTCTCGTCTGATGTGTATGCAAAGTTTCAATATTATAAATGAACATCTTATAAGTTATACTCCGGACATGAACCCAAACATCCTTTCTACACAGTCCAACTTGCTGTCTTAGAAACGCAAGAAGAAGTTTTATTAAAATACCCCGCATTACCAAAGACACTTTGATCAGTACTGTATGATTCGGGCGCAAGCAGTACCCTTTTTCAACCTACCTAGGAACAATATAGAAAACAAACAGAGACACAATTAAGACTCTGTAGAACACTTGAATTATGAAGAATAATTTAATGTCGGCCATGTTGAAAGCACTTTTTAGAAACCATACATACTGGGATCATCATACAGTTTCATTTTGTAGTTTCATGAATGTCGAAAATGCAACAACATAAAAACTAAAATAAAAATATGCCCCAAAAACGTATATGTATGTATCGCATACCATATACTGTCCTGCATATCAGGTTTTGTAAAACGTTTTGTGTTAAATATGTGTTGAGCATTTATTCGCTAGTGCCACAACGCCGTGATATAACTGGAATACTGTTAAAAACGGCGTTAAACCCAACTCACTCACTCACTCACGCTAGTGCCACATGCTAATGTTAGTTACGTTTGCGATACTCTTATTTATTTGTATGTGTGTTTATCAATCTGCTGAGACCTTGCATGGAAATGGCTGAGCTATGGGCAAAACTGAATTTATAAAATCGTATCGGAGTGATACAAAAACAACACCTGTCTCGAAACAACGCTGGGTCAATAAAGGACCTTCCGAAATATTTATTATATGTACAAACACGTTTGAAAATTACGGGTCCCATATGGTGCAAAAAAAATAACCTTGGCATCAACGCGACGTTAATGTGCTCTCAAACCTCAAATATACTGTTTTATCAACGCTTCTAGGTCTATTCGATTACAGATTTTACGCCCCCCCCTCCACACCTGTCAAACGCAGTCGTGGCAAGGTTAATGATTCTGTTTCGACAGAGTTTCCTCCCTTTGTTGGTTTACAGCAATGGCATCCTTAACTCAGAAAGCTAGCGAAGTTGCACGTGAAAAGCATCCACGAAAACAGGAAAAGTTTCTGCAGTATGGGACGGCTGGATTCAGGACAAAGTGAGATCATAATATACTACTTTAGACACTGACAAACTGTAAACTCGTTGAATTTAGCGTATTACGAGGAAGTGATTACCGGCTACGCGAAGCTCTTCAGGTTTTCAAAATGCCATTTTCCGGGAGACTAGTCACAATGCCTCTAAAAAACGAAGGGAAAGTATCTATCGTCTTTATTTTATTCCAAGTATTTCTCAAATATTGTCACGTATGTCCTTAAAAATATGTATATAGGTCTCAATTAGACAGTAAGATAATATATTATTTTCGAATTTGGTTCATCCAAAGTAAGCGGCTTTCTCACAATGTGAGTTCTGAAAAATCTTTTGAGGCCTTGCGCAACGGTCCTGGAAATGTTTCAATGGCTCTGGAAATGTTTCAATGGTCCTAGGAAATGTTATGGACTATACATTCCATTTTCAATCAGATAATTCTTTGTGAAAATTTGATACTAGTGTCAGTTTGAAATATCCTTCTTTTCCTATTGTCATCATAACAAATTAATATAAACAAAGACGTATATATACAAAGAAACTTTATTTTACTTTTAGATTTTTTTAATATTCAATAATAATATGTATATATATTTTCATATTTATATCTATCAAATAGCCATCATGTATAGGGCTTGTTGACCATAAATTCAAATTTATTATTTAAGCGTTTGAGATTTTCTATATTTTAGAGTGGTTGAGTCATTGTTCATCTTCTTCATCCTCCCATGTGAGAAGAAACTACAATTAAGTGAAACTTTTCTTTAAAATAACACCTAAAGATAAAGGATTGGTTGTTGTCTTGATTTGAACTTATTAAAAATACAGAATTTCATGTGATGAAAAGAGATGAATGCAGTGTCATTGAAGAAGATGTTTCAATAACTTCAGAATCAGGGATACAAAATGAGTTGCCCAGAGTAGCACAGCCAGAACGAGCCCATGGATCAATAATGTCTTGCCTAGAGGTGTAACTGCACCAGAAAGCCATGGGTTGATGTCCGGCGTTTGTTTGCACTGGCTGTGTAATGTTTGCTAAATCGGGTTAGAACCTCCTGCTAGGTGACATGGTGGCACATGTCAACATAAGACGTTAAGCACCGGGTACAAGGTCAAACATGTCAGATGAATTCTAAACCATTTGGAAAGATTCTGATCATGTTGTGGTTATGTGAAAAAAAGTTCCTGATATGAAACGGTCATATAAATTTTTATTTTTTTTAATTTACATTTTAAATTTGCAAATGAAATTCGGGTGAAAGTTTGTGTAAGTAATGTGTGAACTCCTTCAATTTACAAATTATTGGTGATATATCATGTATAAATTGTTGAGCGCCTGAAACGGAAAACTTGTATTTTAGAATAAATTGATTTGTTCTAAAATCATGAAAATAATTATTTGCATTGGCCCTAACATTACGATGTTGATTTTGTCCTTGATATTATGTGAACATAAAGAGTAATATATGTGTACGTTCTCTTCTGTCTAAATGCTGCCCATTGCCTTTGTATAATTAAAGGAGATTTATAAGATTAAATAGAGTGATAGTGTTTTTTGAAAAAGTTGAAATCTGATTGCTTTGTTTTTAGGGCAGAAGATTTGGACCATGTCATCTATAGAATGGGATTGTTGGCAGTATTGGCGTCGAAGGCGAGAAAAGGTACTTCTTTTAGCGAAGTGTATTAAGTTAAGTTTATATACTGAAGCCTTTGTTCTGCATCTTAACTCGGCTCTCTAAAACAGCACGACCAAAGGCTTTTGAAAGTGGGTAATCGATCATGCACTCAAGGAGCTCGTTTCGGGTTTAAAAAGGTGACTATATTGAATCTGGTTTTGTGGCTTTGTACACTGAATGTATGGGACATAGCTCATAATATCAACCTCTGGTTTGTCTGGCCCAGATTTTATTTATTTATCGGTTGCCTTGATATGGCTGGGATATTGCAGAGATTGGCTTCAAGCAAGACTCACGGACTCACCCACCCACCCAACGACTCACCCACCCACTTATTCTACCACTCTCTCAACCACCCACCCGCTCACTCTACTGCTCATTCAACCACCTACTCGCCCACCCACACATCTGCCCACTCTACCCATCCTCTCACTCACAGAACCACTTACTCAACCAACCAACCAACTACTCACTCACTCACTCACTCACTCACTCACTCACTCACTCACTCACTCACTCACTCACTCACTCACTCACTCACTCACTCAAAGTAGTGACTACACTGCAAGGTGTCTGTATACATGTGTTCATGCGGAACATGGAGTATACAAACATACTGACGATGTCCGAACTGGGGCCTGTCCTGGCATGATTTCCAGTTGATTTTACTCCTAACACATACTGTCATGACAAGCATGCCAGACCAAATTTCATCTGCTTGACTGGGGCTTTGGATTGAGTAGGCTAATATCAAAATACATACTGTGAATTAATAGGGTTTTCGAAAATCAAGTTGAGTACAGTAAACTACGTTTTTAACAAACATGCTTATTACGAACTGACCGATATAACAATATTTTTTTTAGTCCTGTCTATTTGTTGTATTTATGCTGTATATATGCTTATAACGAACAACAATTTTTACAAACTAAAATTAGTGATCCCTTTGAGTTTGTTATGACTGTAATTTTCTGTACTAATTGTCAAACTGATATCACATTGGATCCACATTCAGCTCAGACAATGTCTTTTCAGCCACCATCGGTGTGATGATCACAGCGTCTCACAACCCCGAGGAGGACAACGGCGTCAAGATGATCGACACCATGGGGGAGATGATGCCGAAACAGTGGGAGGAGTACAGCACCGAGCTGGCCAATGTCAGGTGAGCTAAGCTTGCATGTGGCTAGATTTAAGCAGCATAGGGCGGTTGGTGGCTAGTAGATTGTAGGCAGGTTAGGGATGTTGTAGGTTAGCCTGTATGCTAGGTAGGGATGTTTGAGGTTAGTCTGTATGCTAGGTAGGGATGTTGTAGGTTAGCCTGTATGCTAGGTAGGGCTGTTTGAGGTTAGTCTGTATGCTAGGTAGGGATGTTTGAGGTTAGTCTGTATGCTAGGTAGGGCTGTTTGAGGTTAGTCTGTATGCTAGGTAGGGCTGTTTGAGGTTAGCCTGTATGCTAGGTAGGGATGTTGTAGGTTAGTCTGTATGCTAGATAGGGCAGTTGTAGGCTAGCTGGTATGCTAGGTAGGGATGTTTGAGGTTAGTCTGTATGCTATGTAGGGCTGTTTGAGGTTAGTCTGTATGCTAGGTAGGGCTGTTGTAGGTTAGCCTGTATGCTAGGTAGGGCTGTTTGAGGTTAGTCTGTATGCTAGGTAGGGCTGTTGTAGGTTAGCCTGTATGCTAGGTAGGGCTGTTGTAGGTTAGTCTGTATGCTAGATAGGGCAGTTGTAGGCTAGCTGGTATGCTAGGTAGGGATGTTTGAGGTTAGTCTGTATGCTAGGTAGGGCTGTTTGAGGTTATTCTGTATGCTAGGTAGGGCTGTTGTAGGTTAGCCTGTATGCTAGGTAGGGCTGTTGTAGGTTAGCCTGTATGTTAGGTAGGGCTGTTGTAGGTTAGCCTGTATGCTAGGTAGGGCTGTTGTAGATTAGCCTGTATGCTAGGTAGGGCTGTTGTAGATTAGCCTGTATGTTAGGTAGGGCTGTTGTAGAATAGCCTGTATGCTAGGTAGGGCTGTTGTAGATTAGCCTGTATGTTAGGTAGGGCTGTTGTAGGTTAGCCTGTATGCTAGGTAGGGCTGTTGTAGATTAGCCTGTATGTTAGGTAGGGCTGTTGTAGATTAGCCTGTATGCTAGGTAGGGCTGTTGTAGATTAGCCTGTATGCTAGGTAGGGCTGTTGTAGGTTAGTCTGTATGTTAGACTAACATTTAGTATCTGAAATCTTATATTACACAATATCCTTCTTGACTCGAAAAATAAAAAAAATTCCCTATGCTGATTTCAGAAGAGCTAGCTTGAACTGGCTAGACTTGCTTTTGTATGCATTTCTAGATTATTATTTTTTCATAAAATAAATATATTCCACGGTCATGGTGCAGGACTACCTGTATGCTAGGTAGGGCTGTTGTAGATTAGTCTGTATGCTAGGTAGGGCTGTTGTAGATTAGTCTGTATGCTAGGTAGGGCTGTTGTAGATTAGTCTGTATGCTAGGTAGGGCTGTTGTAGATTAGTCTGTATGCTAGGTAGGGCTGTTGTAGGTTAGTCTGTATGCTAGGTAGGGCTGTTGTAGGTTAGCTGGTATGCTAGGTAGGGCTGTTGTAGGTTAGCTGTGAGGCCTAAGAAGGCTAGTTGAGACGTGCCACTGTGTATAGTGTAAATGCAAGTGTCCAAAGATCTGCATGCTATGAAACCACTTTTTTAATATAATATCATTACATGTGATATGAAGCCTGAGGCGTGGTGTTCCCATTAATACCAGCGTGGTTCAGCTGACGTGAACAGAAACTATGTTCCCTTCCAGTGATGAGAAGATCCCAGAGGTCTTGGAGAAGATCATTGCATCCGAGAAGATCGACATGGCAACCGAAGCATGTGTGTCGTATGCTAGGGATACAAGGTGAGCTACAATGTAATCATTCTTATTGAGTATTCAATATATTTTACTAATTTGGGTACATTCTAACAATATTACTTATTAGGCTCTTTCTTGTGTCTTCTAATTTACACCTGTTCATTTGCAGCCCCAAGTGTGTCCCATGTTAACTTTGCTTCATTTGTTTGTTTGTTTTGTTGTTTGTTTGTTTGTTGTTTAATGCTGCACTCAGCAATAATCCAGCTATACAAAGGTGGTCTGTAAATAATTAAGTTTGGACCAGACAATCCAATGATTGACATCATGAGCATTGATCCACGCAATTGGAATACGATGACATGCATCAACCGAGTCAGCGAGCCTGACCACCCGATCCCGTTAGTCGCCTCTTACAACAAGCACAGTCGCTTCTTACGGCACACATGGTTTGCTGAAGACCATGTTGCTGTGTGTGTGTGTGTGTGTGTGTGTGTGTGTGTGTGTGTGTGTGTGTGTGTGTGTCTTACAACAAGCACAGTCGCTTCTTACGGCACGCATGGTTTGCTGAAGACCATGTTGCTGTGTGTGTGTGTGTGTGTGTGTGTGTGTGTGTGTGTGTGTGTGTGTGTGTGTTTGTGTGTCTTACAACAAGCACAGTCGCTTCTTACGGCACGCATGGTTTGCTGAAGACCTATTCTAACCCAAGTCTTCACAGTTGGTTAACTTTGTATGTGCTCACAACAGCAATATATTCAACATGTGTGATGCGATATTGTAAAACTATCCTCCATGTTGTTTCTCTTAAATGAGATACAAATAAACTCTGCAGAGCCATGATATTATTTACGAGACACGTGAAGATCCGGGGTAGAATAGGTCTTCAGCAACCCATGCTTGCCGTAAAAGGCGTCTATGCTTGTCGTAAGCGGCGACTAACGGGATCGGGTAGTCAGGCTCGCAGACATGGTTGATGCATGTCATCGATCCCAATTGTGTGGATCGATGCTCATGATGTCAGTGACTCGATTATGTACAGACCGCCGTCATATTGCTGAATGCGGCGTTAAACAACAAACAAACAAATATTATTTACGACTATACAAACACGAAAGGGATCAATTTTGGAATTTTGCTGCTGAATATCAGCCTCTGATCAGTTCAAGATAAATCTCAGACATAGGTAATAAAAGTTGTATTTTGAGTGTATACAGCACAAATTCTTGTAGCCGGGGCAAGATTGTGTTGTCCTTCTTGACCACTGAGTTATGTCCCTTGCCTCCAGGCCGAGCAGTGCCTCCCTGGCTCACGCCTTGATGGAGGGGATTCAAGCACTGGATGGAAAATTCAAGGATTTTGGTAAGTTTCACTTGGAAAACCTTGTAGAGGTGCTTACTTCCCTTTAGCAAGTGCCATAATTATTCATATTTAACTACAAATTAAAAATTCATGTAAGAAAATAACTATTCTTTAACAAAGAAACTATTATTCCAGCAAAACAATAACATATCAGTCTCCTCGGGCTGGGACGGGTGACTTGGGATACTCGGATCGGGTGGGTTCTGAGTAGGACCTGGGTACCCACAGGACTACCCTGAACTGTGGTTTGTCATATGTTATATTGTTTAATGACAATAATAATAAATTTCCATGGTTACACAAGTGCAAGTTTCTAATGTTTGTATTTTGCTTTCTGTCTTTGCACTCATTTCCTTCTGAATGTATATGTTTGAGTAAAGACAAAGCTTCAGCCAACTTCAGTGTATGCACGATCAGATTGTTTAATACTTTGCCTGAATGCTTTTTGCCAGGCTTCTGGTAAAACATTTTGTACCCAACTTGAGACCTACAGCAAGTACCAGGGTAGGGTCGTGTATATAGTCTCCGGTTTTGACTAGATTTTTCAAACGTTTGCCATTTAGAATTATATCTATGTTGAAATCGTAATGAAAAGAGGCTTTTTGATTGTGATTGGATGCACAGTATAGATATCGTAATAGAATTTAGATAAGATACCCTGGATAATGGAGGATGTCAAATGACATCTTTCATGTACGCACATGCAGCACACAGTCCTATGAAATATATAGTCTCCTGTAGTTGTGTTTAATTTAAACACCCTCTGACCCCCTGTGTGACACGCCCTCTGACCCCTGTGTGACATGTTCTCTGACCCCTGTGTGACATGCCCTCTGACCCCTATTTGACATGCCCTCTGAACCCTGTGTGACATGTCCTCTGACCCCTGTGTGACATGCCCTCTGACCCCCTGTGTGACACGCCCTCTGACCCCTGTGTGACATGCCCTCTGACCCCTGTGTGACACACCCTCTGACCACGTGTGTGACACACCCTGTGACCCCTGTGTGACACACCCTCTAACCCCGTGTGTGACATGCCCTCTGACCCGTGTGACAGATCCTCTGACCCCGTGTGTGCCACACCCTCTGACCCCATGTGTGACACACCCTCTGACCCCTGTGTGACACACCCTCTGACCCGTGTGACACGCCCTCTGACCCCTGTGTGACATGTGAGCCTGTGTGACACATCCTCTGATCCTTGTGTGTGATACGCCTTCTGACCCCTGTGCGTGACACACCCTCTGACCCGTGTGACACGCCCTCTGACCCCTGTGTGACATGTTCTCTGACCCCTGTGTGACACATCCTCTGATCCTTGTGTGTAATACGCCTTCTGACCCCTGTGTGTGACACACCCTCTGACTCCTGTTTGTGACACACCCTCTGACCCCCTGTGTGTGACACACCCTTTGATCCTTGTGTGTAATACGCCTTCTGACCCCTGTGTGTGACACACCCTCTGACCCCTGTGTGTAAAATGCCTTCTGATCCCTGTGTGTGACACACCCTCTGACCCCTGTGTGTAATATGCCTTCTGACCCCTATGTGACACATCCTCTGACCCCCTGTGTTAGACACACCCTCTGACCCCCTTTGTGTAACACACCCTTTGATCCTTGTGTGTAATATGCCTTCTGACCCCTGTGTGTGACACACCCTCTGACCCCTGTGTGTAATATGCCTTCTGACCCCCTGTGTGTGATGCGCCTTCTGACCCCTGTGTGTGACACACCCTCTGACCCCTATGAGTAATATGCCTTTTGACCCCCTGTGTGTGACTCGTCCTCTGACCCCCTGTGTGTGACACGCCCTCTGACCCCAGTGTCTGTCTTTCAGGCCTCCTGTCCACCCCTCAGCTCCACTACATCGTGTGCTGCCAGAACACCAATGGCAAGTACGGAGCCCCAACAGAAGATGGCTACTACCAGAAACTGTCATCAGCGTTCATCAAGTTCAAGGAAATGGTGAGAGCATCTATTTGGTCAGATCCTGAGCCAATCTCATTTAAATCCGATATTTTACTCCCAAGTGATGCCTCTCGGTTAATAACCCTCTCAATGACCCACATCAGAGGCTCTGTCAGGTGAACTTTCTCTGTATAATCGAACAGAGCATTCTGACCAGCATGTGATTTTTGTCCCAATAGGAGAGGTGCAGTGCAAAGTTTAATTTCAATAAGTAAATTTTCTTAGAAAATATTGCATTTTCACATGTTTTGAACTTAGAAATATGTTGGAGTTTAAGTTGGGGGTATTAGTGAGCCCTGCTGACTTTTTGTCTTGTTCAAACTGTAAACCGTAGTAACACGACAATTATGACATTATAATGTCCTACAGAAGGGTGTCCAGCCTACAGACAGGTGTCTCCAAGTTCCCTATTGTCCCTCTCCCCAAAATGTCACCACACATGCTTTGAATAATCAACAGACCTCAACATCTATTTTTTGGCAACATTTATGAAGTAAGATCTGAATTTTTTTAAATTGCTTCTGAACACATATTTTCTTTTGTGGTGATGCGATCATCAGCTAAATCATGATCTAATGTATATTTGATACCTCTGGCAGACCAATCAGAATGCAGAAAAACTCTATGTTGGAATGTTTTTAGTAATCAAGAATTGTGGGTTGTTGATGAACACCCAGTTTATGTTGGTGTTTGTTTTCGGTTTCAGGGAGGGAAGGAAGGTGCGTACCAAGACACCCTCTACCTGGACGCAGCCAATGGCGTCGGTGCTCTTAAAGTACAGCTAATCCTCAAACACCTCAATGACACTCTCCGGATTAACCTGTTCAATGATGGCAGTAGTGGAAAACTTAATTACCAGGTGATTATTGGTTTTGAGCCATGTTTAAATTGGTTTAGGAGAGTTGAGGTGAAATGGGGTTTAACGTCATGTCCAAGATTATTGCACTTATATGGCGATGTGTGTGTACGTGTGTGTGTGTGTGTACGTGTGTGTGTGTGTGTGTGTGGCTGCTTGTACTAGTCCGGACAAATGCTGATTTTATAGTTCTACCAGATACCATGCCACAGGTTAACATGAATACCCCACTCAAACACAGTATACTGACTCTGAGCCGACCAGCCCTTGTTTTAACCCCTTAAAGTTGAGTGCCAGACAGGGAAACAACAAGTACCATGTTTCAACATATTTTGGTGTGACACAGCTGGTGATTAAACCCTGGACCTTCCGCTCTCAGGGCGAACGCTCTACCACCAGACCATGGAGGCGGTCCTTTGGTTTAGCAGTTTTAAATATTATTCATCAAAGGTGCAGAGGAACTTTACTCAAGAGGTATATCAAGGCATCACATCACATAATGTCTCTTCACATTCCATTGTGAACCCTTTAATTGGGACGTTAAATGTTTTGATGAGAATTTGTCCACTACTAAATATTCATTTAAAAATTATCATTTTGATTACACGTGTACAATTGATAGAAGAGTGATAAGCGTGTAATACTATTTGGACATTATTATTCTTATCCTTTGTTTCAGTGTGGAGCAGATTTTGTTAAAATGCAGCAGACAGCCCCAACAGGTATGCCATTTCAGGTCAATGCTCAACCCATCACTTTAGTTGCGTTCAGCTGATGCACTGTGTCCCTTATCAATATACATTCAGACAAAAAAAAACGCAAGTCAGTGTTCTGGAGACATATAATCTTGAACAAGGGCCTCAAAACTTGTACAGTGATATACTAAGCCTCGATACGTATCTTGACACAACTGGTCCCGATACATGATGCGCATATAAACGAGCTGTTGCTGGAAAGAGGCTTCATTCAAGAAGTACTTTTTTCAGTAAAAAATGTAGATTGGAATTATCTCATCATATATTTGTCGACATTTGTGATATTTAGGGTTGAGAGATCTGAAAAGCAAGTAATGAAAATAGAACCTGTAAGAATGACGCTTCGTGTCATCTGGTCAGCGTATATTAACTGAAATCATACTACTTTCTTGTGTTGCAGGAATGACACTTGAGGCAGGGAGGAAGTGTATCTCATATGACGGTGACGCTGACAGAATCATGTTCTTCTTCCAGGACCAGGGTTAGTTGATAGGAAAATATTCTCATTGTGATAAGGTTAGTTGTTAATACAGTACCCTCATTGTGATAGAGTTAGTTGTCAGGAAACTACCCTCATTGTGATAGAGTTAGTTGTTAGGAAAGTACCCTGATAGTTTACACCAGTGGGCCTATTTATTGCCATGAATACAATATAAACATGTGGGGTTTGCTTTTTATTTATGTGAGTAAGTTCAATAATGACCTTTTACATATAATGTAAAAATATCTGTCAGTTTCCTCATGCTTAAAGACCTATTTTGATTAATTACTTGTAGTGATGTATCTAGGGTTTCTTGTTTGAGGGGCTTCAGTATGCTTGAATGCTTCCTGGAAAAGAATGATGTGTGGATATTAAATATCCTATAGATACTAACCATTTACTTTCAGCTGGCAAGTTTCATATGTTAGATGGGGATAAACAAGCAGCGCTGGTAAGTGGCATAGTTCCTGAGGTGAACTCATAATTGACTTTAGACTAATTTATTGAGACCTGCAGTGATAGCTCCAAAACTGGATTTGAAAGTATTACTAATTAAGTTAATACAGTTAAAACTAGAGTTATGGCTCATTAGAGGTGACTTGTACTTCAATGACGATAGGACCAGTACCGAGGAAGCCTTCATGCTTCGTTTTACATCATTGCAATGTTAAATACCTTATTTCAATTATTTCTTTGTTTGTTGTTTAACGCCGCACTCAGCAATATTCCAGCGGTATGACGTTGGTCTGTAAATAATAGTCTAGATCTAACAATTCAGTGATTGATATCATGAGCATCGATCTACTCAATTGGGATATGATGACATGCATCAACCAAGTCAGCAAGCCTGACCTCCCGATCCTTTCAGTCACTCTTTACGACAAGCGTAGTCACCTTTTACAATGAGCATGGGATCTTCACAGGTTTAGTGATTTGTTCGCCCATTTGCATGTCAAGGGCACTTTTTGTGGAATCCTAGATAAGTTCCTGTGTATATGACCCTCCAGTAACTCCTCCCTGTGTCCCCTCCCATCACAGATAGCTGGCTACCTCCAGGAGCTGGCCACACAGAGTGGGCTCAGCCTCAACCTAGGGCTGGTGCAGACAGCCTATGCCAATGGCAACTCAACTACCTACATCACAGAACAAATGGTAAGTCTTGCCTCCTCCGTTTGAAGAATTGAGCCTCCAAAATAGGGGACTCACCATTTGATAATCTGGGCTGGGAAATAGGAATTTGAAAAAAAAGAAATTTTAATTTATTAATAATTTTGCTTCAAAGAAAATGTATAACATTGTATATCCTTAAAGTAAATGTTGTGTGGTTCCTATAGAAACTGTTTGAAGAGCTTTCACAGAAAAGTATTTTAGTCTTGTAAGTTTTATGAAAAAATATTCTGTTTCAAACAAAGTCCCTGGTCCCCCTGCACTGTTAACTGGCCAGTTCCTCAGTACCCGCTGTACATGTTTGTAACCAGAGTATGTTGAACATGATCTGACTGCTGTGAAAGAGGAATTTTGTACCATCCAGAAAATCTTAGGATTATTAGTTAAATCTCAAGTCCTTTTTTATTAACAATTCATATTTGAGTCATTGTTCAATGTTTTTATTGTTTGATATTGAATTATTGAAAAATAAGTGGTGAGTCCATTTGAAAGAGCTAAGAAAATTCAGGTTGGTACTCCAGTTTCAGGTTGATGTGATAGCTCCATCAACAAGCAAGGTGCTTGACACAGCTCATACTCTGGTCTCAAGGGGTCATGATAATATATCCTGCACTTGTCACTTCAGAAAGTCCCCATCGCTTGTGTCCCAACAGGCGTGAAACATCTTCACCACAAAGCTAAAGACTTCGACGTGGGCATCTACTTTGAAGCCAACGGCCATGGAACAGTAAGACATGAAATCATTCTGCTATGGGTTGGACAATTATATGTCTTGTATATATATGCTTGTGAGACGGCCAGGGATGAAAACACGAAATACTTTTTTTGGCCTGAACGTCATCCAGATTAGACAAAGTCCAGTTTGTAGAGAGTCTACTATGCACAATAATAACATTCAGTGTCCTGTGTTTCCAGGTGATCTTCAATGACAAAGCCACAGATCAAATTTTGAACGCTGCTAATAGTGAAAGGTAAACCTGACTGATAGCTCCTTCTGTCAGCATGCTAGACCCAGACCACTAGAGCTGCCACATTTCAATCAGTCTTCATCAACCCATGCTTGCTTGTCCCGGATCTTCATGGGTTTATTGATTTGCTTCCCCAGTTGCATGTCATGGGGACCCGTGAAGATTCTGGGGTAGAATAGAGGTCTTCAGCAACCCATGCTGGACCTAAAAGGCAACTATGCTTGTTGTAAGAGGTGACTAACAGGATCTGGAGGTCAGACTCGCTGACTTGGTTGATGCATGTCATCGTATCCTAATTGCGTGGATCGATGCTTATGATGTCAGTCACTGGATTGTCTGGTCCAGACTCGATTATTTACAGACCGCTGTTATATAGCTGGAATATTGCTGAGTGCGGCATTAACAAAAAAACAAACCAACAAATCAAAATTGAAAACGTGTTGAAATTGTCGTTACTGTAACAGACAAGTTGATATAGGCGTAGTTTTGGCCAAAGTGGTAAACTTCTGAGACCTGCATCACTTCAGGCTTTTCCCACATATTTAGCTGACACACCATGATATAACTCGAATACTGTTCAAAGTGGCGTTAAACCCAACTTACTCACGCAGTCATTTGTATTTAAATTTGACAATGGACAATACAAGCTGCTAGTCTAACTGCTGGACATAATTGTCCACAGTTGAAGGTGATGTATGACAGTAGGGTACAACTGTGTCAAGGTGTGAGTGAGGGAGTTGGGTTTTAACGCCACTTTTAACAGTATTCCAGTTATATCACGGTGTGTCAGCTTAATGTTGGAGAAAAGCCTGAAGTGATGCAGGTCTCAGACGTTTACCACTTCGGTGAAACCACGAGCATGTGTATGGTGCTGACAAACCTAGAAACATGATCGAGGCGAACCGGAATTCGAACCCACAATCATAGGTTTCTGGCGTGCCCAAGGGACGTGACTCTGCACAGCGAATTGCAGCGCCTTAGATGACTGGGCCACCCGTGCCCCCTCTGTGTCAAGGAGGATGTCATGTCTCATGTTGTGTGTCTGATTGTATTGCAGCAGTACTGAAGAACAAAAGCTGGCTGCCAAGAGGCTGTCCGTCTTAATGGATGTTATAAACCAGGTACCTTGGCTACACTGAGACTGATAGAGCAACAAGGAAGTACTACTTTTCTGTCCATGTTTGATTAATTATGTAAGTCAGGTGCTGGCAAGTCACTTTCAGCATATTTCACAAGGACAGATAATCTGTGAGTCGGAGTTGCAAGGAGATTATTCTTTATTATCTTTGGTCTTTTTTTCTGAGAAAATGGGAATAGCGAATCAGCTTGAAGTGTGATGCTTGACCCTGAGTGTGGCAGGAGTATATGTTTTGAGGTAGCCATTCTTATGTGAGGCCAAGGAATTATGTTTGAAAGCGATGACGTTATTGGGGGGCTGAGAATGACAACTTCAAATGTGGAAACTCATGGTATCATAGTGCAGCTTTACGTTATTGTTCTTTTACTGTGGCACGCTCTTTCTGCACTTACTGAAAGAGCTTTAAGATGGAAATTTCACCATCACACAACAGATGATGTCATATGCTTCCATGACAACTGATCCGTCTGCTTAATAATTGGCTCAGTTCAACAAGGGTTGAGAACTCTCTGGAAATGGGAAATAGACAGTTTGAAACTGATCAGTACATTTTAGATACTGGAACATTCTGAATTGTGTTGCCTACGTTTGTTATCATTGAATGTCAAATTAGACTGCATACTTCATTTACAATTGTATTGATATGAATATATGAATCCTTGCAGACTGTGGGCGATGCTATATCCGACATGTTGGTTGTGGAGGCGATACTATTTGCCAGAGGCTGGAGTATTGAGGACTGGGACAAATGTTACACAGATCTGCCCAACAGACAGCTGAAGGTCAAGGTGAGTCAGGTCATGGGTCAGTGACACGATCTGCTCAACAGACAACTGAAGGTCAAGTTGAGTCAGGTCTCAGGTTAGTGACACGATCTGCCCACAGACAACTCAAGGTCAAGGTCAGTCAGGTCTTAGGTCAGTGACACATCTGCCCACAGACAAATCAAAGTCAAGTTGAGCCAGGTCATAGTTGAGTAACATGATCTGCGCAACAGGTCAAGGTGAATCAGGTCATAGTTCAGGAACATTTGTCCAACCGACAACTGATGGTCAAGGAAAGTCAGGTCATTAGTCAGAGACATTATCAGTTCTGCAGGCAACTGAAGGTCAAGGTGAGTTGTGGTGCTAAGTTGCAGATCTTCCCAACAGACAAGTCAAGGTCAAGGTGAGACAGGTTGTAGGTCAATCGAATACCTATTGACCAAATAGTTCCAAAACTGTTCCTATTAGTGCTCTCTGGTTACCACAAGTAGGATCAATTAGTAAGAGCTGTTTCTGTGTGCCCCACATTAATGGTCTGTCTTCAGACAACCAATATGTGATATATATGTGATATATATGATCATACACATGATCTCTCTGCTCCTCCAGGTGTCAGATCGCACAGCCATCACCACGGCGGATGCGGAGAGGAAAGTAGTCACTCCAGCAGGTCTCCAGGGTGAAGTAGACAAACTGGTGGCCGGCTACACCAAGGGTCGCTCCTTCGTCAGGTGAGTCCCATCTCTAACCTCGCCTTCATGTCCGACAGAACAAACATGGCATTGGTATAACATTTACTGTGTCACATTGTCACATGGTCACCATGGTCAGTGATTGGTGATGTGTACATTGTCACTTCATCAACAGTCACTTCATCTTCTCTAGACCCGTGAAGATTCCGGGGTAGAATAGGCCTTCAGCAACCCATGCTTGCCGTAAAAGGTGACTATGCTTGTCGTAAAAGGCGACAAAGGGATCGGGTGGTCAGGCTCGCTGACTTGGTTGGATTGATGCTCATGCTGTCAATCACTGGATTGTCTGGTCTAGACTTGACTCGATTATTTACAGACCGCCGTCATAGAGCTGGAATATTGCTGAGTGCGGCGTTAAACGACATACCAACCAATCATCTTCTCTGGGGGGGGGGGGGGGGGGGGGGAGGCACGGGTGGCCCAGTCGTCTAAGGCACCGTGACTCACTGTGCAGAGTTGCGTCCCTTGGGCACGCCAGAAACCTATGATTGTGGGTTCGAATCCCGGTTCGCCCCAGTTATGTTTCTAGGTTTGTCAGCTCCATACCCGTGCTCGTGGGTTTCACCAAAGTGGTAAACGTCTGAGACCTGAATCACTTCGGGCTTTCCTCCCACGATGAGCTTTCCTCCCACGCCGTGATATAACTGGAATACTGTTAAAAGCGGTGTAAAACCCAACTCACTCACTCACTCTTCTCAAGGATGCGATGTTTAATAATGTTAAGGACTTCACACATCTGCAGATGGAAACCTCTCAATTAGAAATGCCACTGAGTGTTTACTCCCAACTTATCATTCACACGGGGCATTGATAGTTTTCTTTTGGTATTTAATATTGTTTGACTGAAATAGTTGACTGCTAATCTTAAATCTGTTTATTTGCTGCCCCAAGTGTGTCACATGCTGGATATGCCCACATACCGTATATGTCCCACATGTCTAAATTTTAACGGCGGTCGGGTAGGCTAGTGGTTTAAGCGTTCGCTTGTCATGCCGAAGACCCGGGTTCGATTCCCTACATGGGTATAATGTGTGAAGCCCATTTCTGGTGTCCCCCGCCTTGATATTGCTGGAATATTGCTAAAAGCGGCGTAAAACATACTCACTCACTCACTCACTCTAAATTTTAACACGCGAGAAGTAGCTTTTGTATATTGTTGGCTGCTGTAGAGTTCATGCTACATTCAGCTGGGAAATTCAGATCTTGTAAGAAAATACAGGTGTAAGAGCATTCAATATACAGTAAACTACGTTTATAATGAATTGACGAATATAACAAACTTATTTTGGGGGTCCGGCCAGTAGAGCTTAGTTTTACATTATTGCAATCCATGCATTGGTAAATACCTCATAACTTTAAGAAGTCCAATTTTGAACCAAATTCTTTCATTATGGCTTTATTAGGACACACTGTTTGCCACTGATGGATGTACCTGGGCTGGCTTACATCTGCTGAAATGCATGCTTGAATTCTACAGCAACGCCATGTATGCAAACAGACCCACTGGTCGGGGAGCAATTAGATGAGCAGATACTAGTACCTAGATACCTGTGGTATGTAATTTTGTAATAATAATATTCTTAACTGTGATGTTTGTTTTACAGGCCCTCGGGAACAGAGGATGTGGTGCGAGTTTACTCAGAGGCAGACACAAGGGTTGGTGACATTTTTCATATCATTTCTTTCAAAATCAGTTACCAGTTTAATCTGAATGAAATTTTGCAAGCAAAGTATTGTGATAAGATCTGTTTATACCACCCTGTATTGTATGTTTGTTTCGATGCTCCCTTAAGGTAGGAAAAGTCCCATTGTAACTAGAATTGTTGTAACAGCCAACTTGAGGATTGGTGGTGAGAGTGTTTGTTTGTTTGTTTGTTGTTTAACGCTGAATCAAGCAATATTCCGTCTATATGACGGCAATCTGTAAATAATCGAGTCTGGACCAGACAGTCCAGTGATTGACATCATGAGCATCGATCTCTCTCTCTCTCTCTCTCTCTCTCTCTCTCTCTCTCTCTCTCTCGTGAAGTAGATCTAATGTTGCTGACTACAGCATCAAGCAACCCTTACTCACTGACATGATGTTTGTCCATGGTGCTTCCAGAAGGTCCCACAGAATGAAGTACCCATGCTGGTTGTAAGAGGCGACGGACCGCCTCCGTGGTCTAATGGTAGAACGTCCGCCCGGAGAGTGGAAGGTCCGAGTTAGATCCCCAGTCGTGTCATACCAAAAGACGTTAAAAGATCGTACTTGTTGTTACCCCGTCTGGCGCTCGCCATTAAGGGGCTAAAACAAGGACTTGTCGGCTCAGAGTCAGTATACTGTGTCTGAGTGGGGTATTCATGTTAAACTGCGGCATGGTATCTCAGTGTGCTAGCACTATAAATCGGCATCAGTCCGGACGAGTATAAGCAGCCACACATACACGTGCATGCACGTCGCTGTATAAGTGCAATAATTTGGGACGGGACGTTAAATTCCATTTCACCTCACCTGTAAGAGGCGACAGAATGGATAGGGTGGTCAGGCTCGGTGACTCGGATAGGGTGGTCAGGCTCGGTGACTTGTTTGATGGTGTGTCAACATAGTCCGATGGGATTGATTGTTGCTCATAATATCAATCACAAGTTTGTCTGGTCCAGACTTGATTATTTACAGTCCACGTCATGCAGCTGGAATATTGCTGAGTGCAATGTAAAACAAAGAAACACATCAGACTTGAATGTTTGTGATTTTTGGACTTTGATATTAATCATTTTGCTCACATTTTACACGCCCACCTAATATGACACATCTTTAATTGTGACAGGAATCTGCAGACAGTCTGGCGTATGAAGTGGGTCTGAAGGTGTACGAGTTGGCCGGCGGGGTCGGAGACAAGCCCGTCAAGCCTTGACCACTGCTCTGCTAGGAACATCCACACACCAGCTTACACACAGAACAATCTCATTTAAATCAGATCTTTTACAAAGATTGACTTCATTTACCATCTTGATTCAGAAATTTCAACTATAAGAAAAGAAAACCACAGAGAACACAAATATACATTTAATGGTATTGGCTCTCGGGTAGATGCAAGGGTGTTAATAATATCCACAATAGAATAAGGAGGCCTTTATTATTTACATTCTGAACTGTCTGCTTAAGTTCATTTTCGAGTCTTTTGCTCTGAATTCTTTGCTCACTAATACAAAGAATTTCCAAGCCTCAGTGCCGATTGGCTGGTTATGAAGCTCACCTGATGAGACCTCCTGTGGAGCTGCTGTCAGATCAAGCAGAAAGGTGTCATAGCAGGGTAAAAGATTTGATTTCAACCAGATTAACACATGGAACATACTGGCGTTGTTAGTTAGCAGTAGTTGTAACTGGGAGCTTGTGCAGTACACTCATCTGATTCCAAATACTGAACCTTGATGGTTTTGATAATCTATTTATTAGTGATATCTTCTCACAACGATATTGCGGGTTGCCAATACAGGAACACTTATCATTCCTACCATCTTCAAGAGCGTCCACTAGTCTTTTAATCAAAGTCTTGTTTCCACCCTTGCCACATCAAGCCCACTTTCCTGTGCTAAATATGATTGAACTATCGCACATGTCGATAGTCCAATGATTGGTGGACGGTGAATTAAACAATTTAAATTGAAATAATTCATCATATTATTAATACGTAACAACTTGTAATGTGTGTGAAAAGTCGTACTAAAATATGCTGTTTGAAGGGGGCGTGGCCTAAATGCAAATGTCCGATTGGGATTTTAAATTTTCCGGACCCCTGGTCCAATCAGAGACTGTTTCACAAAATCAACATCGACGACTGGTACCCCTTCATATGAAAGTGATTTACCACTGCCTGTCTTTGTTGACACGTTTTTTTTCATCTTTTAATTCCCCCAACGATTGACAATCTTTTTTTGTCAGGGATCTGATCGACTAGCTCGTTGCCTATGGTAGCTGCCATCTTTGTGAAGCTATATGAGATAAGAACAGCTTGTGATCTACGTGAGATGGCGCCCTGGTCGAGCCAAGAAAGTAGCCTTGATGTGGCAAGGGTAGAAACTAGACTTATAGGCTAGTGGACATGCTTGCCTTGGGAAGATTCATTCCGACAAGAATTTTGAGTTACTAATTTTGTCAGAACCAGTTTGTATTATGTTTCATAGATCTTATGTTAGTATGCAATTGACACATTAGGCTGTGATAAATTAATTATTAGATTTTCATCCTCACCAACCTCACATCATTTATTGTCTCCAAGTACTGACAAAGAAAATCACTAGGACGCCCCTCCTTTCTTTAAATGAACGTTGGAAAAGATAGGAATATGCCATACACCTTGTGCAACCAAACAGTAATGCTTCATGTGAAACACATTAGATGACATTAGACGTTCACTCATGCCTTGAACAGTTGGTTTGAGAAAATAACATATAAAAAATAATGCCACCCTACTCTTAATTTTTGAAATTTTTGGATTAAATCTAATAATTGATGTATTGTGGCCTTATTATCATGGTCAGTTTTTGTATCAGTTGGACTCCTATTGGGCAGGAGGTACAAACTCAGACTGCATTTATTCCCCTGCCTGAGCAGGCTGTAGTCGAGAGAAAAAAGTGATGCAATTCAAGAACATCCCAGAACCAGTCTATGTAAGAAGAGCTCCATTGCAGCACCTTCACATTTTCTATGTTCTCTGTATGGACAGGGGTGTGCCTGTACGGAGCTTGTGGAGATTCATACGCTAAGCAATGACATCACTGATTTTGCATCTTCACATAATCAGGACTTGGTGCCATATGATGTCCAAGAACTAGTATTAATACAATTTATTTAATATATATTGATTTGCTTGTTGATGATGTAAACATTTACTATATCAAATGATAAAATAATCCCTGTACCAACCTACAATATTTCATGTCAAATATTAATTTGTATGCATTAATCATATTTATGAAAAAATTGGAAGATATGGGATAATGCGATATGCTTTGATGGGCCCGTGGGCTTTCTAACATGTAATATTGACTGTATTTTAGCCAATCATATTCACAGCGGAGTTATCATATAACACTTGTTACTTTTGCACTGTTCTGTACACAGAATAGAATCCTTATCCATTAGTATGTTTAGTTTTGGAAGGTGTCAATGAACATTTCCATAAAAAAAAAAACATGTTTCTTTGGCAATTTTTTTGTAAAAGTGAGGAAGGTAGGATATTCTTTTATTTTGGGAGCTTCTGAATTGTGTTTCTGTGGTCCTAAGATACTGTAGTTTTCAAATACGTCAAAATGTTTTTCACCCATAAGGTCCCCTATCTCATGGTTGGTCACAAATAATGGATAATAAACGAATTATTACACTCGCATGTGGGTCATACTGATTTTACGGAACTCGTGTAAGAATTCATGTATTACCTCGCTCTCACTCGGGAAATAGAAGTCTGACACACGATTTGTTAAATCAGTATAACACGCATGCTCGTATAATAAACGGGGGCACAGGTGTCCCAGTTGTCTAAGGCGCCGCGATTCGCTGTGCAGGGTTGCGTCCCTTGGGCACGCCAGAAACCTATGATTGTGGGTTCGAATCCCGGTTCGCCCCGATTATGTTTCTAGGTTTGTCAGCACCATACCCGTGCTCGTGGGTTTCACCGGAGTGGTAAACGTCTGAGACCTGCATCACTTCGGGCTTTCCTCCCACATTAAGCTGACACACCGTGATATATCTGGAATACTGTTAAAAGCGGTGTTAAACCCAACTCACTCACTTACTCATATAATACACGGTAATTATTTGGTGGATTAGGACTTAATTATGTGTCATGTTATGAACCGTACAAGTGATACTGATACTTGATTACAGTGTTACCATGGTTACAGGGGGAGTCTCTTATACAATAATATTGTTTACTATGCTGTTAAGTGAGTCAAGTTGGATGCTTGGTTGAGGGAACATAGGTTTTGCTTCCACTGTCTACAAATGTATTTTTGTAATGAAAATACTACCACTTCAAGATTGTGTTTGTTGTTTTTAGAGGTCATTATCAATACTTCAAAAATACATAAATCAGGGGGAAATTAGCATCAGTTAGTTTAACATGGATACCCTACTCAGACACAGTATACAGACTCTGAGCCGACCGGTCCTTGATGCTGATCGCTGGTAGGGCAACAAGAAGCATGACGTTTGGTATGACACAGCCAGGGGATTGAACCACCCAACTTTTCCTCCCCTAGTTTCGAGCAAACAGAGAACTCTACTGTTCATGATCTTGTCTAATGTAGCAGCAGCTAGATTATAGTCTTCAGCAACCCATGCTTGTCGTAAAAGGTGACTATGCTTGTCGTAAAAGTCGACTAACAGGATCGTGTGGTCAGGCTCCCTGACTTGGTTGATGCATGTCATCGATCCCAATTGCGTGGATCGATGCTCATGATATCAATCACTGGATTGTCTGGTCCAGACTCGATTATTTACAGACCGCCGTCATATAGCTGGAATATTGCTGAGTGCGGCGTTAAACAACAAACAAACCAACCAAGATTATAATTACACTTTTATTTCATGAGAAGGTCTGACAGAATTAGGCAGTGTATAAAATTCCCAAACATTTCAGTCTGACAACTGGACCGGCAACATTGCAAAGTTACCAGACCAGATAAGATGTTGCCAGTCCAGAATTTTCTAGAAAGTAACAAAAGGGTAAACACAGAGGATTAGTTCTGTTTAATGTTAGTTCTCAGAAAATAACAATAAACTGGTGGATTGTCATCTTAGTAACTTGAACTCCCGACATTTAGGGCTAGGATGAGTCTAAATTTACTACCCCCCAATTACCTTACCCGGGTACCCGCTGAAGGCCTCAAGAGGTAGGTACAAACTGTCCGATTGGGAACATTTTGACCGTAGCACTGGTAAAAAGTGTTCAGATACACGTATGAAACGATCTTGTGTATACAGTGAAGTTGACTGAAGTTTAATTTTTATTCAAACATATAAAAGTAAGAAGGAAAGGGCTTAGTAGTCAGGAAGAATTGTGAACATTAGTGATTTGTAGTTTATCCAGAGATTTAGATAAATAATATATCACATAGGGGGCACAGGTGGCCCAGTTGTCTAAGGCGCCGCAATTCGCTGTGCAGAGTTGCGTCCCCTGGACACCCCAGAAACCTATGATTGTAGGTTCGAATCCCGGTTCACCCCGATTATGTTTCTAGGTTTGTCAGCACCATACCCGTGCTCATGGGTTTCATCGAAGTGGTAAACATGTGAGACCTGCATCACTTCGGGCTTTCCTCCCACATTAAGCTGACACGCTGTGATATAACTGGAATAATGTTAAAAGCGGTGTTAAACCCAACTCACTTACTCACTCAATATATCACATGACTAATTATGGCTCCAGGTAGTCCCTGTGCGTATCTGGGTCCTATTCAGTACCCACCAGACCCGAGTTGCCCGTCCCAGCCCTACAAAAAACAGGGCTGGCAACTTTTCAAAACTGACACTATCAGCAAAACAGGCAGTCTCGGACTATCAGGCAGGCGAGTAATTTAAACACTGAATTAGGTATACTTTCTTTTGGTCCAGCTCACTGACAAATTGGGAGTGCTATATTTAGCTCAGTCTGTGAGTCATCACCATTCCTGAAGCAGGTAAACCAATGAGTGATGGACAAGCATCAGGCCTAGTTATCCTTGCATGTTTGTTGTGAAAACAGCACTTGTGAATATTCCCATGATATGACTGCGGCCTGACCAACCAATCCACTAAATTGCCTATTACAACAAGTGTAGGTTGCTGGGGACCTATTGTAATAGAATCGCCACAGAGGATGTGGGTCAGACCAGCTTGTGATCGGGAATCAATGACAACCAGTAATGGGAACAAACAAACATAATTTATTCTTCATATATTTACATAAAATGATGATGTACACATGCAGTTGATGATGGTGATCAGAGATGCTAGAAAGCCTGGAGAATGAGACAAACATGATTCACATTTACAGCAACAGAACAGGAATTTGTTTTTATTCATTCAAAACTGCATCTACACATTCATGGCCACAAGTCTAAATGATTTACCAAATAAAAATGTTTGCTTAGTAGTAACTTTTTCAACTTTGATCCATAAATGACCTGATTCATCATCTGTTGCATCCATTCACTCTTTAATCATACAATGAATGACCTACACATACAGGCACATGAAAATGATGGGACAAAAAACCTGTTCGGGATTAAGACATTGAGTTGTGTTCAACTTTGAACCATCTTCCCGAGGCAAAGGAGTTAACTGACTTTAAAAGTCCAGTTTCCACCCTTGCCGAACTAGGCTAGAATCCCTGGGCTCAATCATAGCGCCACCAGTGGTTCTTACGAGTTATGTCCCTTCAAAGCCTTGCCTATGGACCAATCAGATTCCACCTCTCGTATCACTTGCATTTACTTCGACCAAAATGGCAGCGCCCAGCTAAGATGATCTGATTGATAATCAAGATCCATATTGTGATAAAACGAGTCTTACATCATGTGAGCACCTTGATTAAGAACATGAAAAGACTTGGAAAATAGCTGTTGACAAATAGTTGGCAGTGCACATGCTTTGCAAATCATGCAATCGACCGAAATCTGCATGACAATTTACTAACCGGATTTCAATTCATTACACAATTTTGATTGGGCTATGCATTGACTTGTTAGTCCAGCCAAAATGTAACTCCATAATACCAGCTGAGTTCGGCAAGGGTGGAAACTGGACTTTTATGGTCAGTTAACTCCCTTGCCTCAGGAAGATGACTTTGAACAGATTCTAGTTACAACAGTGTCAGCTTCCAGTGGAGGAAGATGGAGTAAGACCGCTTCATTTTTAGTCTTGATTCAAAATAAGCACCGCTCAAGATAGCTGTCCAATTAAATGGCTTTCTGGTGTGAGTGAGTGATGAGAGATGGAGATGGTGAGATCACTTCTGACATGATGCTTTGGTTTATACCCTGGAGGTGCTGAGGTGAGGTGAAATGGGGTTCAACATCTCGTGTGTGTGCATGCATGTGTTTGTGTGGCTGCTTGTACTACCTCGAACTAATGCCGATTTATAGTGCTAGCCCACTGAGATACCATGCCGCAGTTTAACATAAATACCAAACTCAGACACAGTATACTGACTCTGAGCCAACCAGTCCTTAGCCCCTTAGTGCCGAGCGCCAGGCAGGATAACAAGTACCATCTTTTAGCATCAGAGATCAAACCCCTGACCTGCTCTCCGGGCCGACGCTCTACCACTAGAACACAGAGGAGTCTATATACCCTGGGTAATTGAGGATGGGCACTTCCATTCACTGATAAATACACATGGTGTACTTAGACCATTGGGAGAGTTTACAATGTAGGAAATGGAAGGGGGTGCAGGCATGCCAGGGAATTAAGATCTGTCACTCTGTACTTTCATACTTTCTGAGGACGTCGATAATGTTTTCCTTACAACTTGGGATGATAAGGACCCTTTGTCTTGACATGTTCAAATACTAAAACACCAACAAGATGACCCTGGCCTCGGCTGCTTGTGTGTTGGCACTTAGAACTAAAGCCAAAATGGAGCAACGTATATCGACAATACAATGGGGGCTGGCTTGTGCCTGTAGACTGACTTGAGCAGGGAATATACTGCATGATTTCATCAGTTTCGAATATTTCATTTCCGTTAACATTTAGAAATATGTCCAACAGTGTTCATTAAGAATTATAGTCTGATGGCCTTTTGAATTCACCCTCCTCAAAATTCAACATAAAAACCTGGCCAGTTCCATTTGTTACAGACTTGGGGGTATTCGACTTTTGAGGGCAGCAGCAAATCATTGAGGGGAGATAACTCTATGTTGACAGACTTACAAATAGTTTTTAACAGATTTCAACAGGCTTTTTTTCAAACTATAATGATAGAAATAAGATATATTAATGTTTAGGTGATTTACTTCACATGGTTATTGGTCAGGAAAATTCAAGGTCTTCGCATAGCATATTGTCGATTTTCACGCCTTTCAAGACCTTACTTAATTCAACAACTTTTCAAGCATTGTGAACCATGTACAATATGGAGCAGTCGTCTGACAAGAAGCACAAGTTGACTTCTGTATGTACACTGTAAAGTACATCCACAATTGTCTCCCAAACAGAACCCCGTATCAGAAGTATGGAACCCAGTTGCTGTCATCTGCCGGCTTCAGCATCCCAGTGACCAGCAGGATGATGTCGATGATCCACCATATCCCCACGCCTCCCACCGTCAGCAGCTTCCCTACAGCTGTACCTGGGGGCAAAGGACAGGACATCATCAGCAAACAACCCCCTAGCCATAACAGATTATACAGACATCCTTCATGTCTGTTTGTTTGTTGTTAAACGGCAATATTCCAGCCATATGACGACGGTCTGTAAATAATCAAATCTGGACTAGACAATCCAGTCATTGATATCGTGAGCATCGATCAACGCAATTAGGATCGATGACATGCATCAAACAAGTCAGCGACCTGATCCCCAGATCCCGTTAGTCGCCTGTTACGACAAGCATAGTCGCCTGTTATGGCAAGCATGGGTTGCTTAAGACCTATTCTACCCCAGATGTTCACGGGTCGCAGCCATATGTCTTCACGCAGGACGGAGGAACATAGTGTATACCGTGAAGTAATTATAATGGAACCACAATTGCGTTGCAGGTCAAATCTGAGCCAATAAAATACTAATCACAATGACAGAAAACTGTTCCTAAAACTGACCTGTGTGCCCGAGGCAGAATCTGTCCATACCCAGAAACCCAAGGAGAACAGAATATAACAGTGTTGTCACAAAGTAGTGGCCATTGTACCTGAAACAGTTCATTGTTGTCAGCTACCACGGTAACAGATGGTGTCAAATATATGGTGACATAAGTGTATTACTTATTCAATTAAGAATTAACTTCAATACTAATTACGATGATGTTTAAATATAAAAAAAACGGTGAGCAAACTGTTCAAATTGGTATAGTTTATAACTCTGTAACGCAAAAACATATTGAAGTCAATTCTTTTTAATAAATATGTCAATAATAATAATACCTTAATGTCAATCATTAACACATCACCATTGTAGACAACAGGACCTAATCATGATAGGACCTATTTGGACCTAAAATTCAAGAAACACTGGAAGTAACATCTGTTCAACAACAATCTCTGATTGTTTTTTTTAAAAAAGAAATATATAAAAAACACCCTATGACAATGATCTTTTGGGTCCATGTTACTTTATTATTATTACTATTATTATTGTTTATATGTTCTTGATTTTACTGAATGTACAGTGTACTGTATATCTGTGGACCAGGGCCAAGTGTAGTGACAAACAAACTTGCCCGACCTGTAAATGTTACTGTACACGGGCAGCAGACAATGGTGACTTTCATCCCTGGCGTTACCTGATACATGGAAATCCGTCTTTGAGGAATGTTCTGTTCCCGAAGCACTCGATGCCAGGAAGAGCCGTACAAACAACACTGGTCCGCTGCACCTCCTCGTATCTTTCATTGCCCCACTGAAACACAATACCAACAGGAGGGAGTTATGCAGTCTCATTGAACTTCAGATCTTCCTACTTGCCATACACGCTTTGTGTAGTGCTAGCGAGCACTGAGATCTGATTAATAAATGCTTAGTAAGGGCATAGAGTACAATGTAAATATAAATCATGATGTTTACACAACACAAAGTGGGATTAATGTACAAAGATAACAACATAATGACGAAGCCAATGACATAGGATTAATGTACAAAGATAACAACATAATGACGAAGCCAATGAGATAGGATTAATGTACAAAGATAACTACATAATGACGAAGCCAATGACATAGGGTTAATGTACAAAGATAACAACATAATGACGAAGCCAATGAGATAGGATTAATGTACAAAGATAACTACATAATGACGAAGCCAATGACATAGGGTTAATGTACATAGATAACAACATAATGACGAAGCCAATGACATAGGGTTAATGTACAAAGATAACAACATAAGGACGAAGCCAATGAGATAGGATTAATGTACAAAGATAACAACATAATGACGAAGCCAATGACATAGGGTTAATGTACAAAGATAACAACATAATGACGAAGCCAATGACATAGGATTAATGTACAAAGATAACAACATAATGACGAAGCCAATGACATAGACATAGGATTAATGTACAAAGATAACACTATAACGACAAAGCCTATGACATTGGATTAATGTACAAAGATAACAACATAATGACGAAGCCAATGACATAGACATAGGATTAATGTACAAAGATAACACTATAACAACAAAGCCTATGACATTGGATTAATGTACAAAGATAACAACAGAACAATAGGAAGCTGATGGGAAACCGATTTTCACTAATATCATCAGTTTGTAAATACAATCTCATTAAAATCAGATCTTAGTTCTCCCTTCCGCTAAACAAAGATCTGAGGACATCCCATTAGGGGTCAGGTCAGAACAACCTTTCATCTGACCAATCAATGCGTCGCTTACCAGATCATGAAAGTGACAGTCGGAATGTGATTTCTAATCATGCAACCTCGGAAACTTATTACACGGGGTATTCCGAACGATAGTTACAGGGTTAACGACTGAATCCATACTTTAGGCCATATATTAGCCATTCCAGAATGTTCTTTTGTTCAGGTTTCAATTTTTAAATCAAAAATTTGTCAAAATATGTTTCAAAGCGTAGTCGTCAATTTGAAATTCTGGTCAGTCATTCCATTGGTCGATCAAAGTTCCCGCAAGGTCTGTCTGAGTAATGGGATGTCCTCGGATCATTGTTTAGCGGTAGCGAGAAATAAGATCTGATTTTAATGAGATTGTTTGTAAATACTGATAATGATTATACCCTGCATACCGGTTGTATATTTTACCCCCGATATTGCGATTAGATAATTGATGAAAATAAACAGTGAGAAACATGATAAAGAAGTTCAGAGTACATATTAAATAATAACAACATTTTGATTCCCATGATTAACAAAGCTTCTATACACTAGTGATACACCTGACTTTGGGAACTTCATGAATCAATTCAAATATTTAAGATGTTACAAATACTGCAACTTGTCGTTAGCAATGTTTCTGCTTCAACGGCACGTTGAAGACAGCTAATGAAACGAAAAAGGGTTTAAAAAACATGGTAAGGAATTACTTCTGAGCATCCGTATCCAAGACGCTTCCTCTCCGTGTTATTTCCGTTCAGATCTAGTGGCTCGGAGCAGTTTAGGAACTGTAGTGGTCTGGAACAAGTCAGTCACATTTCAAGGCAGGTATGAGAGTCACAAATTACCAATGATTACAAGAACAGAATTGTAATGTCATTTCTTTCTCAAAATCTCAATGTGACATAATTCTTTATTGACAGCTTTGCTTTGAATATGGCACAAGTAAATTGTGACTCTAGTCTGACACTTGTGACTAGTCACGTGCCAAGTAAAACTGATCAGTTTATACTAGCATGACTTGGCCATACCCTAAAACTAATAGCTACGGAAATAAATGTCAAAAATTTGAGTTCAAAAGCTTTTGGCACTACTAGAAAACAAAACATGTGCCCAGTAACTTGCCCTACACCTATTCTGCTTTCACCATGTTTACTCTGTGATCTTGTTTTATATCTGTGTATATCCTTTCATCGGTTACAGTTATTCAAAGACTGTTAGTTCTGCATGAATTACACCCAAACTGTCCACTTACACACCTACCAGTTGGCTACAGGGTCTATGGATATTTACCTAAACATGCTAAACTGTCCACTTACACACCTACCAGTTGGCTACAGGGTCTATGGACATTTACCTAAACATGCTAAACTGTCCACTTACACACCTACCAGTTGGCTACAGGGTCTATGGACATTTACCTAAACATGCTAAACTGTCCACTTACACACCTACCAGTTGCCTACAGGGTCTATGGACATTTACCTAAACATGCTAAACTGTCCACTTACACACCTACCAGTTGGCTACAGGGTCTATGGATATTTTACCTATACATGCTAAACTGTCCACAAACTACATACATTTAATTGGGGTCCCACAAATTAAGGATGGTAAGCTTTTGTATATATTACATCTATAAAAAATTAATGATTTATATCATATGGATTTTGCAGCATAGAATATGCAGTGGACCAGTTGGAAATGCCTGTTGTATGTATCGTTTTATCATTGTCTGGTCTAACCTAACCAGATAACCAATGTTGGTTGGTTTGTTGTTTAATGCCGCACTCAGCAATACTCCCGCTATATGATGGCAGTCTGTAAATAATCGAGTCTGGGCCAGACAACCCAGTGAGTAATATCATGAGCATCGATTCTACCCCCGATCTTCACGGGTTAGATAACCAATACATGTTCCATTGACTCTATGCTTAATGCATTAGACTCTGATTTCAATATGAATGAACAACACCCACACTTTTAGTTCGGGGAATGACACTTTTGGGGATTAGGCCTATTTCGTATTTAACATGAAACAAAATGCACTCACAAATAGGAGCAGTTTATCAGTGGGCCATAGGGATCGTAGGTGTACCCTGTCGATTCGTCCATCAAATAATTGTCATCGAGAGCAGGTCCATCTTTACCCCCAATCACCGAAGGTGGGCTGAATAAAACCACAACAAAAAATGTAAAAATACAGCTTTTTGTATGGCGATGCAACATTATTTTATGTCATCCTTTGACAGAGACCCTAAGTTCATATAAGTTCATCAAACAACAAACAAGGAAAGAAAACGGATGTATACTACTCGCTATTTCAAATATAAATCCTGAATTACCAGATGGAATATTGGGAGCCGAATACTGTAGCATTACAATCTTGACTGGTTGTATGATAGTTTTTTCTGATTATCAATACATTTGTGATACTACTTAAAAACATACATCTGCAACCGATATCAGCAAAGTAAAGTATTTGCATCTGAAAAATACACAGAAGAAAAATAGTGTCAAACATTTTTCGTCAATGAATCTTACTTTTTACTTAATTAACCGGAAGTTACGACGAGTGTCTCGCGTGTGACGCACTTTCGTCAACACTGCCAACATGGATATCACAAATCTGTTTAAAGCGACAGTGAAGGCTGTCAAATCACGCAACAAGGTCATCGGCGAACCGGATAATGACAAAAGCACCATTCTCAGTACCAAGAGAAAGAAAGGAGATTTTGAAGTGAAAGCCAAAGATGTGGCAAGTAGATTACGTGTTACCGTTTGCATCATGCACAAGTGTGGTGCCATGTACAGATGAAGTAGATAACTACCTATAGAGTGTACGAAACCGAGTATACATAAACCTTGGCTCAATTTTCATGTTGCATTTCACTAGATTGATACATATGTTACGAAACAATACACAGTATTAATGTCAAGACTTTGTGGTAATCCTCACAATTTTCTTCTAAGTAAAACAGTCATAACCGTAGGCCTACTAGTTAAACATGGTGGACCTTTAAACTTGTTAAACACTGTTAATTTGTGTAGCTTAATTGGAAAAAAAATAATTAATGTGCAATACTAAGGCCATATTTTACATGTTACAACGTGCAGTTGCCATTGTCACAGTCACCAGCTGATCACAGATTTGTTTTCCTTTACACTGTGTATTGTCCATTCACCATGTTACATACATTTATGAATGAAATTGTAATGCAATAAATGAACAATCTACTCCAGAAACTATAACGTCCATGAAGGCACATATACCGTATTCGACGTAATAAGCGCCCCGCTCTAATAATTTTTATAAGTGCCCATATTTGCTAATATATTGAATAGCTAGTGAACAATTCCAATTAGCACCCTTCCAATTGGTCAATTTACACAAGACTGATTTATTCGTGTATAATACGCACTCGTATGTTATATGCACCCTTAATTATGGGCAATTAATTTCTGGAAAAAATATCTGTCATGTATAATACGCACAGACTTTTCTTTTGTATCATTTCAGGCTGTTAGCATAAACCACGACATTTACGATCTTTCAACTCTGTTTTTTTTCTCACTAAAATATTCTAATAAGGGCCCCCTGTTTCTAATTTTGAGAGCGCCCTGGGCGCTTATTACGTCAATTACGGTACTTGGTAAATGATTATAAGGAACTTGTACCTATTATCATCATGATCATGAATACTAAACATTAAAGCTGTCCAAGTTTTTGGTAATCAAAAACAGTGAGGGGCTATAGGCATGATAGGCATAGGTATCAGTGTTTGAAACAATTTTAAAGCCCAACAAGACTGTCAGTCAGGTGACCCATAAATGTTGCCTGCCCATTTTCCAAGTTGCCTGCCTGCATTTCCGATGAAATAATGCTGACAATTACATGAGAATCAACGAGGAGTTATAAATAAAACTGAATATGTAAGTAGTCTTATTGTCTGCCAGACAGTTTGGCAGATAGGGGAAAATTTCATGCAGCCCGGCAGGAAAGTTACCAGCCACAGGCAGGCGGGCAGGCAGTTTTTTCGGACACTGATAGGTATTAGAATATTAAGGAGGCTGATTTCTTATAACAGGACAAAAGCATTACTGCTTTCATGGTTAATGCTGAAAACTTTCTTTGCAGGTTAATACCATAACCAAGCTCCGGGATTTCCTGCTTCAGCATCGGAAGGAATACGTCAATGCTGGCAGGTTTGTGTGATGTCCTGATTACAGAGCTACCTTAATTAGCAGTTGCAGACGTAATGTGTACGCGAGACAGGTGCAGTCTGCAGTGCTCAGTGGAGCGCTTGATATTAATCATGTTAATTAATTCAATCACTGTGGTTGTGCTATCACCCGTTACCTCCGCGAAAGTAATTAAAGCACTATGTAAAGTCACCCCAATGCATTTACTATGAACATTTGATCAAAACCAAACCTTCAAAGCAAGAACCCTGTCTGGATGCTGGGATCCTGTTGTGATTCAGAGGAACAATAGTTCCCAGTGTCATGTGATAATTCTTGTCTTAAGAAACAACTAGATAGAATCAGACTTGGGGTTGTAGTTGGTGTTCTGACGTCATTTCAAGTTGGTGGATTGTTCTTCATACTTTGTCACTGGTTTGTCTGGTCCTTAAATGATTAACCCTTTTGGACCCGGGATAGAATGTGTCCCCAGCACCTGTTCATGACTCGATTTTGAGGAACTTGATTTAAGTTGCATGCTGACATGAAAACCTAGTTGCACAAGGAAAAAACAGGTTGCACCCTGGTCCCATATAAATGTATCCAAGTTGAAACATAGATGCTTAAACTTGTCTAAATAAGTATGTTCTCTGATGACTGTTTCATGCCATATTGCTGTAAAACATAATAGGAAAATTCGACCCAATAAGCGCCCATGTCCCAATAAGCGCCCCCATTCCCCCCCCCCCCCCCCCCAGTTCCGGAAATTTATATAGTTATTATTTCGTTTTAAATGAAAATCATCCGGGAACCGAGGTTTCCGGATATTTAAAGACCATCTGAGCGGGGTATGACTGTATTCTGTTTATTTTAGATATTTGTGACTTAAGGCTTACTGATGAATTTACGACAATTTGACTCTGAATTGGTCCCAATAAGTGCCAACCACTTCTGTCTTTATTTTAAGCGCTTATTGGGTCGAATACGGTAATCATAAAGTACCCACAATTTGATGACATCAAGCCCAGGAAAGCCTGACACATTACACAGGACACAGCGATTAGTCATGTATTGTGTGTGTTCAAAGATTGTAGTTGTGTCGGTTGGTTTGTTGTGTCACGCCACACTCAGAAATATTCCAGCTATATGACGTCGGTCTGTAAATAATCTAGTCTGGTCTAGACAATCCAGTGATTGATATCATGAGCATCGATGCACACTATTGGGATCGATGACATTCATCAACCAAGTCAGCGAGTCTGACCACCCGATCCCGTTAGTCACCTCTTACGACAAGCACAGTCACCTTTTACGGCAAGCATGGGTTGCTGAAGACCTATTCTATCCCGGATCTTCACGGGTCTGTAGTTGTGTGGAAAAGTAAGAGTGAGAAAGACATTTGAAATTTTGTGACAGGCGCTTGGTACTTGTAACAAAGTATTAGTTTGCTCTTTTCAATAATAGGTCGAACTGGTACATGCTTTATATAAAGAAACATATGACGAGTAGGAGTTATTTATTGTACAATAAAACACTGAAGGGAGAATAAACCATGAGAGGTGCAGCTGTTTACTTCTTATATGAGATATCATGATTATGTACAGCCTCTTTAAGGATGATGATAAAATGTACAAGCTTTAAACATATTTACTCCTATTTAACTAATGATGACTCCCTAAATAGAATCTGGATATGTTGGACAAGTCCATTTTATGCACAGGGGGTATTTCCCTTATATACTCACAATCCTCACGTTGATTACCTGTACGTTTTCTCCAGATACCGATTTTCACATCTCTCCTTCTTTTGGATGTCATTGCGTTTATCTGTTTTACCCAGCTTCGTCTATGGGGAACAACTCACTAGACACTCCCCTCTCAAAAATAACGTTGTCCATTATATAACGTCATCAAGTTGCATGTGCATGTTCGAACTCAAGAAATGATGTCATGATAGAACAATGTTTTATCATGAAATAAACCACACTTTGTTCTCCACTGTTCTTTGTGATGTATTGCGTAGCTACCTTATATTGGTAAATCGAGCCCTGCCATTGCTACTACATCAGCAACCCATGGGTATTCCAGATTGGAATAGGTCTCCAGCAACCTGTGCTGGTTGTAAGAAATGCATTGGGTGGTCAGATTCGGAGACCTGGCTGATGCTTGATGTCAATCACTGGGTTATCTGGCCCAGACTAGATTATTTACATACCAATATGATATAGCTGCAATATTGCTGAGAGCAGCATTAAACGACACCAAACACACAACCATACGTGATTGTTTACACACTACCTATATAAGGCGGACACCTGTCAGGCTTGAATATTTGCTGAATGCTGAATCATATACCAACTCATCCACAGAGTATGTTGTGTGGAATGTATTGCACTTCTGTAATCATGGCAGTTTTATATGATACATGTCTAGTCAATTGCACATTAATGTTACTTATTGTCTTTAGTCACCTGGCAACAGAATCATCAAAGATGACTGATTCAGATCGGGATCAGATTGACACAGATTCACAACAGATCATTAAAAAGTGCCAGGAGACGATTTCCATGTTTCGACAGGAGGCAAACAGCCAGCGGGTTCATCCTCAGGTCAAGGAACACCGACAGTCTGTCATGGTTCTGATTGGAGCTTATTTAAAGGGTAATAGTGTCATATTTAACAAAGATATTTGAAATATCAAAAGACAATTTATATTTTTTCTGTCCTATTAATCTGCTCGCATTGTTACTTCAACCATCAGATTTTATATGCATAAGGTCAGATCAGACCTCTGACCTGACCTGTGAAGATCCGGGGTAGAATAGGTCTTCAGCAACCCATGCTTGTCGTAAGAGGCGACTAATGGGATCGGGTGGTCAGGCTTGGTTGATGCATCTCATCGATCCCAATTTCGTGGATTGATGCTCATTATATTAATCACTGGATTGTTTGGTCCAGACTCGATTATTTACAGTCGTCGTATAGCTGGAATATTGATGAGCATGCTGAGTGCAGCATTATCCAGCAAACCAACCAACCAACCTGTGACCTGTTCACAAAATCAGTCTTGAGCCATGTGAACAAAGACTTATGGCAGTTGTAGCGCAAAGTTTTCCAAAGTTTCTGCCAAAGGGCCACTTATCTTTCTTTCACAGTTTCCTTTCTTTAAGACTTTCATCTCCCAAGTTACGTCGTTCCGTATTCAAAGTAATAAGCGCCCTGCTCTAATAATATTTGCTAATATATTGGCTAGTGAACAATCCCAATTAGCACCCCTTTCGATTAATCAATGTACACAAGACTTATTTATTTGTAAATAATACGTGTGTTATATGCATCCTTAATTATGGGAATTTAAATTCTGGAAAAATATATCTGTCGTATATAAACATTTCAGGCTGTCAGCATAAACCACGAAATTTACGATCTTTCAACTCTGTTGTTTTTCACCAAAATAATATTATAATAAGAGCTGCCTGTTTCTAATTTTGAGAGCGCCCTGGGCTCTTATTATGTCAAATACGGTATTTTTGATGATGTGCATTACCTTGCAGTTGTCTGTAAGATCTACAGTGAGCAGAGAGCTGTGAGAGTGAAGAGAGTCGTGGACAGGAAGAGGATGTAAGTATCATTCGTAGGGTCTGGTGATAATAATAACAATAAGTCCATTAATATAACACTTGACACAAGCTCACTGTGCATAACAATAAGGAGAGCCTATAGGTTGGGATAGAAGAGTTTGAAAGTCATGTCTAACTGTATTTTGAACAGTGACAGAGATTCTACTGATCATTAAGAGTTGGACGGAGGGTTCCACTTTGAGTCGGCTGTCACTCCAAATGAGGGAACAAGCAAACTAGTGCTTCCTCCATCAGTGGAATCAGATGATGCCAATATTTCTTAGATGGGAGAAAAACTTCTGGCACAGAACCTTCACTTGAGTTTCAATGTTAAGATTGGAATCAAACAGTACTCAAATTTTCACAAACTGTGAGAAAGAAATGACTGCATCTACCATGTCTACTGCTGACAACTCAGAGGAAGGTAACCATGACAACTGGGATATATATTGATGGAAAACAATATTTAAGTTTAGTTTTACTGTTTAAGGTGCCACCGAAGTGGTAAACATCTGAGACTTGCATCACTTTGGGCTTTCCCCACACATCAAGTAGACGTGTTGTGAGGTTGCAGAAATACTGTTCAAAGCACTGTTAAACCAACTCACTCACTCACTCACTGTCATGTCTTTCTGTCTTATGTAGGGGGCACGGGTGGCCCAGTCATCTAAGGTGCCGCGATTCGCTGTGCAGAGTTGCGTCCCTTGGGCACGCCAGAAACCTATGATTGTGGATTCGAATCCCGGTTCGCCCCGATTATGTTTCTAGGTTTGTCAGCACCATACCCGTGCTCGTGGGTTTCACCGAAGTGGTAAACATCTGAGACCTGCATCACTTCGGGCTTTCCTCCCACATTAAGCTGACACGCTGTGATATAACTGCAATACTGTTAAAAGCGGCTTTAACCCAACTCACTCACTCACTGTCTTATGTAGATCCCGTCTGGAGCCCGAAAGGAGGATGCACATCGCCAAACATCTGGAGGACAACGCAGACCCAAGGCCACAAGCTGATGTTAAACAGTCAGGTAGTGCGACACTTCAGTGAACTATGAAAGCCTGGAAACAGTACTTTGCTTTAGGAAAGCCATACAACAGAGTGACACATTCCTTTGCTTCTCTAGGAGTACGAGATGTATAATAATTACAAGTATTTATGTTACAGTGATCATTTGTTGACCGGGCGGTCGGGTAGCCTAGTGGTTAAAGCATTTGCTCGTCACGCCAAAGACCCGGGTTCGATTCTTGACATGGGTACAATGTGCGAAGCCCATTTCTGGTGTCCTCCGCTGTGATATTGCTGGAATATTGCTAAACGCGGCGTAAAACCACACTCACTCATTTGCTGAGCACATTACTTAGCTCTAGGTTAACTCTCGGTGTACGAGAGACACAATAAGTACAAGTATTTATGTTACAGTGATCACTTGTTCAGCACTATTAATGTTACATAGGCTTGCTGAACAAATTTATTTGACACAACTTGTCAGCCAGGTGACAAGCAGTAATGTGAAGACATGTGACGTCATCCTTCCGTGGGTGCGGTGAGATGGGGTCTGCCTCACAACTGGTTGTAACAACTTCTTCTTCAACTGGACCTCAAAAAGCTTCGTTTGCTGTCAAAAGAAAGCATTAAATGCATTGAGATGTAATGCAGGATAAGTGTACAAATGTAAAAAACATTTTTATTTTACTAATATATTGTTTGTAGAGAAGTCTGAAAAGTCTCGAGTTGCCCTGGAGAAAAGCAGCCATGCTGACGATGATGATGAAATTTCACCAGAGGAAGCACAGATGGTAAGCCCGAAAAACAGAAATCCAGATTTGTTTCTCATAATGGTTGGTAGTGAATGAATCCTCATGACACACTACGTTCCTCCATCACCCTCAAATACATATGGACGCTGTGCCGTGGAACCGTGAAACGTGCAATCTCATTGAAATCAGATCTTAGTTCTCGCTGCCACGAAACAAAGATCTGAGGACATCCAATTAAGCATGTTAAGGGTCATGTCAGAACGACCTTTCATCTGACCAATCAGAGCATCGCTTATCAGATCATGAAAGTGACAGTTGGAATGTGATGTTTGATCGTGCAACCTCGAAAAAAAACACACAGGGTATTCCGAACGACAGTTATGGGCTCTATGACTGTATTCATACCATCTAGACCATCTATTAGCCATTCCAGAATGTTCTTTTGTTCAGTTTTTAATTTTTTAATCGAGTGTATGTCAAAACATGTTTCGAAGCGTAGTCGCCAGTTTGAAACTCGTGCTGTAAAGTTCGATTAAGCTGCCTTCTGATTTGGTATTGTCGACTTCTTGTTACTCGTTCCATTGGTCGGTCAAAATTCGCGAAAGGTCGGTCTGACGTGACCCCGTAATGGGATGTCCTCAGATCTTTGTTTAGCGGTAGCGAGAACTAAGATCTGATTTTAATGAGATTATGAAACGTGTCTTTTGTTAGTCAGCTTATGTAAGGAGGCCATGTATAACTGACAGAGATCAAATAAGCCATACTCCATGTATCATCTTCCTGAGGCAAGGGAGTTAACTGACTTTAATAGTCCAGTTTCCACCCTTGCTGAACTAGGCTGGAATTCCTGTGCTCGATCATAGCGCCATGTCCCTTCTATGCCTCGCCTATGGACCAATCAGATTTCAACTCTCTTATCACTTGCATTTGCTTCAAACAAAATGGCGGCGCCCAGTTAAGACGATCTGATCGATAATCAAGATCCATGTTGTGATAAAACAGGTCTTACATCGCAAAGTGCATCAAATCATGTGAGCACCTTGATTAAAACATTTGAAAAATATGTGTTGGCGGTGCACATGCTTTGCAAATCCTGCAATCGACCAAAATCTGCATCACAGTTTACGAACAGGATTTCAATTTCGTTGTGCGATTTTGAATGGACTATGCATAGACTCATTAGTCCAGCTAAAATGTAACTCAATAATTCCAGCCAAGTTCGGCAAGGGTGGAAACTGGACTTTTATGGTCAGTTAACTCACTTGTCTTGGGAAGATGTCCTTCAGCAACCCATGCTTGCTGTAAAAGGCGTCTATGCTTGTCGTAAGAGGTGACTAATGGAATCGGGTGGTCAGGACTTGGTTGAAGCATGGATCAATGCTCATGATATCAATCACTGGATTGTCTGGTCGAGATTCGATTATTTACAGACCCCCGTCATGTAGCTGGAATATTGCTGAGTGCAGCGTAGGACAACAAACCATGCATTAACCGTTGCCTGACAGATTTCATCATCCGATTTGCAGGATATGATGTTATAGCTTTTATATTTCAGTTTGAGCAGGAAAATCAGACAATCTACAACGAAATGAACAGCATGTCAGATGAAGTAAGGTAGGTAATCGACCCTTGCATATTTCACTCAAAATAATAGGCATAACAAATATTTAGTGGCTTTAGATGTACAGGTATCATAGATCTATGTTGAAAACAATATGTTTATGACCATTCTACCCATAATGTTTACATGCAAATTCTTTGGTGTAAGTAAAGATTAGGAGGGTCATGTCATGGGTTGAGTAAAGTTGAGTAATGATGAGTTAAGTTGAGTAATGGCGAGTAAAGAAGAATAATGGTGAGTAAAGTTTAGTAATGATGAGTAATGATGAGTAATGGCGAGTTAAGATGAATAATGGTGAGTAAAGTTTAGTAATGGTGAGTACAGTTGAGTAATGATGAGTAAAGTTGAGTAATGGTGGAGAAGTTGAGTAAAGTTGAGTAATTGTGAGTAAAGTTGAGTAATGGTGAGTAAAGTTGAGTAATGGTGAGTAAAGTTGGTGGTGCTCCTTGTTTATGTTTCAGACAAATAGAAGGGAAGGTGGTTGAAATAGCAAAACTACAGGAAATATTTTCAGAAAAAGTTTTAGAACAGGTAAGAGTTTCTTTCAATAAAACACTTTTAGAACTTCTAATGGAGTGTGGATGAAATGTAATATTCCCCTTGCTTATTGTATCCTTAGTTGAAAATGGTGAAAATGGTGAAATACCTGTGTGTATCTTGCAGCAGGTTAAGGTCACGGTGTGTCATTATTGTTGTATTGATTAACATGATTAAGAGTGTCTTGTACATGAACCCATCTTCCCAAGGCAAGGGAGTTAAGTGACCAGTCCAGTTTCCATCCTTGCCGAGCTAGCCTGGAATTTCTGAGGTATATTTTGGCTGGACTAATGAGTCTGTGCATAGTCCAATCAAAACTGCATATGAAATCAACATCATGTTCGTGTACAACATGGCGACTGCCTCTGAGACACCCAGTGCATGTAGATTGTAGCACAACTCTTGAGCACACTGATGAAAAACATCATTAAAATATCTGGAAAATTCCGCAGTCGACTGAAATCTGCTTATTGTAATCCATGTTGTATTACGAACCAGATGTCTAGTTCATTACACAATTTTGATTGGACTATGCACAGACTTGTTAGGCCAGCCAAAATATTCCAGAATTGCAGCCTAGTTTGGCAAGGGTGGGAGCTGGACTTTTATAGTCAGTTAACTCCCTTGCTTCGGACAGATGACAAAATCTTTCATCTTTATAGAAGTCACTGTGTTGTACACATGGTTTGTGTGAATTCTGAGAAATTTTGACTGTCCTATCAAAGTAAAGGATACATGGGTTGATCAGCCAATCCGATGTCAGCTTTCTAAGATGATTCTGCTTCATCATAACACAAATTATTTTACCTTGATAATAAACCATATCAATGTAGATGCCATGTCACTAAAGAACAAAATGATGTGTACAAAATCCACAGAATATAAAGCACTGCCTTTATTATTCTTCATTCAGGACTGCCCATTTGAGTCTATTTTCAAATCAGAGTTCAGATATGCTGGTTCAAATGCTTGCTCAACTGTACCGAGAAGTTAGACACCTCCCATCCCCTATTGCCCAACCCAACCCAGGTAGCCGCTGTAGGTCTTTAGAGAGATGGTGCAAATTGTCAGATTGGGAATAGTTTGACTGTAGCCCCGTGAAAATATATACAGATACACATGTAAGATCTGGTCATGCATTCACTGAAGTCGACTGAAGTTTTATCTTTCTTCCAACATATAAGGTCTGAAGGAATGGATGCATAGTCAGAAACAAATACAAACATTAGTGATTTGTAGTGTAACCATGGAAGGCCAGATAGTTTTTGTCATTCATCAATATATAACTTGACTAACCACTGGTCCGGGTAGTCCTGAAGGTCCTACTCAGTACCCACCGTGCCTAGGACCCGAGACCCGTGAAGATCCAGGGTAGAATAGGTCTTCAGCAACCCATGTTTGCCATAAAACGTGACTATGCTTGTCGTAAGAGGCAACTAACGGGATCGGGTGGTCAGGCTCCCTGACGTGGTTGATGCATGTCATCGATCCCAATTGCGTGGATCGATGCTCATGATATCAATCACTGGATTGTCTGGTCCAGACTCGATTATTTACAGAGCGCTGCATATAGCTGGAATATTGCTGAGTGCGGTGTTAAACAACTACCAACCAACCAACCTAGGACCCTAGCCTTAGCCCTAGCCTCGACACTGATTTGCTGATCAGACAAGACTTCCTGTGTAATAAGATCTTGACAGAGAGGTATCAAATCAGAGTAAAAAATCTTTAGAAATCAGTGTGAGATTATCTCCCTTTGACTATCATTTTCCAAACCTGCATGTCATGACAAGCACAGGGACGGTGTGTGTGTGTGTGTGTGTGTGTGTGTGTGTGTGTGTGTGTGTGTGTGTGTGTGTGTGTGTGTGTGTGTGTGTGTGTGTGTGTGTGTGTGTGTGTGTGTGTGTGTGTGTGTGTGTGTGTGTGTGTGTGTGTGTGTGTGTGTGTGTGTGTGTGTGTGTGTGTGTGTGTGTGTGTGTGTGTGTGTGTGTGTGTGTGTGTGTGTGTGTGTGTGTGTGTGTGTGTGTGTGTGTGTGTGTGTGTGTGTGTGTGTGTGTGTGTGTGTGTGTGTGTGTGTGTGTGTGTGTGTGTGTGTGTGTGTGTGTGTGTGTGTGTGTGTGTGTGTGTGTGTGTGTGTGTGTGTGTGTGTGTGTGTGTGTGTGTGTGTGTGTGTGTGTGTGTGTGTGTGTGTGTGTGTGTGTGTGTGTGTGTGTGTGTGTGTGTGTGTGTGTGTGTGTGTGTGTGTGTGTGTGTGTGTGTGTGTGTGTGTGTGTGTGTGTGTGTGTGTGTGTGTGTGTGTGTGTGTGTGTGTGTGTGTGTGTGTGTGTGTGTGTGTGTGTGTGTGTGTGTGTGTGTGTGTGTGTGTGTGTGTGTGTGTGTGTGTGTGTGTGTGTGTGTGTGTGTGTGTGTGTGTGTGTGTGTGTGTGTGTGTGTGTGTGTGTGTGTGTGTGTGTGTGTGTGTGTGTGTGTGTGTGTGTGTGTGTGTGTGTGTGTGTGTGTGTGTGTGTGTGTGTGTGTGTGTGTGTGAGAGAGAGAGTAACACTAGTATTAATGTGTTAACATACCCTGACAGCCCAACCTTCACCTTGTATGTAGAGAGGCCCTTCTTTGAACACTTCAGATGTCTGTTTGAAGTTACTCAAAACTTTGTAATTTTGTTGTGACCTTCATTCTCACAACTACCTGTTTAGCTCACCTGACTGAAAGTCAAGTCGGCCCTAATGGTTGGCTTCTCTGTAAGTCTGTTTGGGTACTCATGACGTCAAGGCCGGTGTACCAGCCTGCGGTGTTGAAAGAGTTAAAACACAAAATAAAATTCCTGCTGACAAGTTGTATTAACATGATAAAGGGCATGTTACCTGAAACTTGAGTATGTTAAGTCATTCTCATTAAAATCAGATATTTTATTCCGATGCATTACCTCTCTGTGGAAGATCTGTGCACACCTCTCTAGGAGGCCACATCAGGAAAAGTTTCTTATTAGCTAATCAGCACTGAGGCTGCAAAGTTCTTGGTGCAAGTAAGCGAAGCATTCAGCCAATCATATCAGATTTCTGTAACCTGAAAACAAATATAATTGGGGAGTTCTGAATACAAAAAATAAAAGCCATGCTATTATATTTTTGTGTATAGTTTGTACATCATCTTGTTTCTGAGGGGACCCGTGAAGATCCGGGGTAGAATTGGTCTTCAGCAACCCATGCTTGCCATCAAAGGCGACTATGCATGCGTAAGAGGCGACTAACAGTGTCAGGTGGTCTTGGTTGATGCATGTCATTGTATCCAAATTGCATGGATCGATGCTCATGACGTCAATCACTGGATTGTCTGGTCCAGATTTGATTATTTACAGACCGCCATCATATAGCTGGAATATTGCTGAGTGCGGCGTTAATAAAAAAACAAACACAAAAACATTTCTTGTGCTGAGATTCTGTGGTAAAGATATGGAGGCGACGCGTTTAGAAAGCTAACATCTGATTGGCTCAAGGACCCACACATCCTCCTCAGGGTTCAGCTGATGTGACCTATGGAGGTGTGGTTTTCACACAGAGAGGTGTGATGGCAATGTGACCTTTGATGTTTTAATGACATTGATGTTGTGCTTGCTTTGTTACCATGGTTACAATTCTAATGACTTTGGCTACAGGAGAAAGATATAGACAGGATAGCCAATACAGCAGTTGGATCAACGGAGAATATTAAAGATGCCAACGAGGAAATCAGGGAGGTATGTTACCATGGTTACAGCTTATTATAATAATCAAGTCGGTGAGTCCCACTTGGATCCTGGGTCATAATTGTTCACCAGCAACTTCTGTTGGCATAGAAGGCGACATAATGGATGGGGTGGTCGGGCCTGGTGACTTGGCTGAATGTGTGTAATTGTACCCTGCGGATGTGGATCGTTTTTGTGATATCATACACTGGATTGTCTGGGCCAGACCTGATTATTTACAGGCTGCTGTCATAAGGCTGGAATATTTCCAAGTGTGACATTAAACCTGACAGCAAAAAAGAAATCCCTTCTTCCTCACATTGGAATGATTTTTCTAATAATTTAAGAGTGAGTGAGTGAGTGAGTATGGTTTTATGTTGCTTTTAGCAATATTCCAGCAATATCACGGCTGGGGACACCAGAAATGGGCTTCACACGTTGTACCCATGTTGGGAATCGAACCCGGGTCTTCGACATTACAAGTGAACGCTTTAACCACTAGGCTACCCGACCGCCCCTAATAATCTAAGAGGGACTTATAGTGTTTATTGGGTGAACACAAGGGCTACTCAGTATGAGGTATGATCTAAAAATTGAAAATTTGGATATAAAAAATTCATGAAATAGAAATAGTCTGAAACATATTTGGCATCAACTGCACTGCTGGAAACTTGAAATGAGAAACAATACAGAAATGTATAAAAAGTAGTTCAAAGTAGTTCAAAGTCAAGTTACTATTGAAAGGACCAGAGCCATTGAGAACATTTCAGTAGCAAATCAATTTAGGATCATTTTCAAATTGTCTTTAAAGTCATGTTAAATGTAAAATTTTGATGCCGCTAATGTCATTAAATGTGAATCATTTCTGTCTTATGTCATGAAATGTGAATCATTGCTGTCTCTAATGTCATGAAATGTGAATCAGTGCTGCTTCTTTTGTCATGAAATGGGAATCATTGCTGTCTCTAATGTCATGAAATGTGAATCTGTGCTGATCCTAATGTCATGAAAAGTGAATCATTGCTGCCGCAAATGTCATGAAATGTGAATCAGTGCTGCTTCTAATGTCATGAAATGTGAATTGTTGCTGTCTCTAATGTCATGAAATGTGAATCAATGCTGCCTCCAATGTCATGAAATGTGAATCAATGCTGCCTCTAATGTCACATTTTATGTTAATTGTTCCAGCTTATTTATTTGATCAAAGATATTTTTTTTTCAAGGCAATCAAGAAGAAGGCTGAGTTTCGAGTTTGGATTCTGTTCTTCCTGGTGGTGTGTTCATTCTCTCTCCTCTTCCTCGACTGGTACAATGGATAACACAACCAGAACGTCTAGATGAACCTTAACTTATATAGCTCTAAGCTTGCAGCTTTATAACATTTGAAACATACACCGTAAAGTAACATCATGAAAGATAAATCATCTGATGCAAAAGACGTCATGAATGTGTTCCAATAGTTTTGTTGCCATGGAAATGAGAAACTGCTGAATTATCAGGTTTCAATGAAAAAAGAATGTGTACTGCAGTGGTGCTGTTGTCATGGAGACAAGTACATTGCCATGCAAGAAGAAAACTATCTAGGGCTGCTGTGAACATGATGAATGCAAGTTGTATACCGTAAAGTCTCCTATAAAAGGATCAGATTCTTGATCATGTTTGAGTCTGTTGGAACGAAGGAAATGAAATATTGAGGTTGTTATGGATACTTTTTAGGTGCAATGAAGCTGATAATCACGATCATCATAATCACACGATATAGATAATCATGAAAATATACACCAAATGTGTGTAGATTCTGATGTGATGATGTACAGGATATAGAATCCCACCTGATCGCCTTGTCTCCTGTATAGCTAAAATACAAATCTACACATTTACTTGTAAATAGTATTTCTCACATTTAATTTTTCAGAGATGTCTTTATTTGACAGTAGGATTTAGATAAATACCTCACTAGAATCAATCTGTGATCCATGCACCAACCACATACAGGTTGGGTTTATTCGGGAATGGTGATGGGGTGTTATATTAACTGTTATTAGTGACCAACTATTTAATATTGTGGCAGGGGGCCTGGGATTTTTTCCTGAAGGAGAATCTAAATAATCATATTTATTCATTGGAATTTATTTTAACACCAATCTCATTAAAATCAGTTTTCGCTACTGTTAAACAAAGATCCGAGGACATCACATTACGGGTCACGTCAGAACGACCTTTCGCGAATTTTGACCGACCAATGAAATGACTGACAAGAATTCGACATTAGCCAATCAGAAGGCAGCTCTCTCGAGCTTTATGACACTAGTTTCAAACTGGTGACTACACTTCGAAACATATTTTGACGTATTCTCAATTAAAAAATTTAAAACTGATTAGAAGAACATTCTGGAACGGCTAATAGATGACCTAGATTGTATGGATATAATCATAAAACCCATAACTGTCGTTCGGAATTCCCCGTGTTTAATATTTCATGGTTGCATGATTAGAAAACACATTCCGACTGTCACTCTTATGATCTGGTAAGCGAAGCTCTGATTGGTTGGATGAAAGGTCGTTCTGATGTGACCCGTAATGGGATGTCCTCAGATCTTTGTTTAGCGATACCGAGAACTAAGATCTGATTTTAATGAGATTGTTTTAACACCAACATGTCTACCGATCTATCTATTTTTGTATATTTACTTGAGGCAAAATTATGTTTTTCCATCTTTTTTCCAAAAATCTCAGCCCCTCTGTGCTAATTATCAAATAGTCGGTCCCTTACTGCAAATTTGTTAATGTTAATGAATTGTACATTAAGCTTTCATCCATTCTGAAACACTGTTGTAGTTTCTCAAGCTTGTTAGTGTCTATATAGTTACAGACTGAGCAGATGGTATTTACTGTATTTCTTCTATTAGACGCCGGGATATCAATACATGCTGGTCTCTATTAACAAACGTCAGGTTGTATGCTCTGTCCTAAAAATAGAAGCTGGGCCCATCTTTTAATAAAATTAATGATCCCTATCACATTAACTAATGACATGCAATGATTACTCCCTTTGTATGACTAGAATTTGGGAGAGCAGCATGTTGAGTGCCATTGTGCCTGAATTAAACAGAATGGATACCAGGCATTAATGGCCTGTGCGAAAAATAATAGACACCCAGGCTTTTAATAGAGGAAATATGGTATGATGTGTTGGATACATCTTGCGTTCCATTGCTACTGTAACGTTACTATAGTGGTAACCATGGTGATCGTGACTTTCTTAATATAATTGAGTTATTTTATTATTACTTGTTCAATACTTCTGTGCATGCATGCTTGTGGAATGTTACTGGTTAACTTGTGTTACACATTCCTCAGGGAAGTGTGTCCATTAGCCTATGTCAAAGCCTAGCTTCTACCATTGACATTTCAAGCCTACTTTTCTTTTCTGGCTCCACCCTGTATAGAACATGAGTTGTGTCCTTGTCATGAAAATGCCATATCCAATCAGATCGATGTTCTTATTTTGAATGGCTTCACAAAGATGACGACCATAGCAGATGTTTTGGTGTACAGATTACGAATTATTTTTAGATCTCATCCCTGACAGACACACAAAATGACAGATTACCACAGTAAAGATACTTATTACTGCCGATTTTCACTCTGACAATAACAGAAACATAGAGACCATTGGAAACTACGCCAGTTACACTGTACATCGTGGCAACATGAAACACTCAGCGGGGTGTGTGTCTAAAAATAGCACTGCATCTCACTGTAATAGTTATTGTGATGGGTATTCAGTCTTTTTGAGTTTAAAAAACAATTTGCACTAAAATATATAAAGTATTTGGGTGAGTTGATTGAAGACGTAGAACCATTTCGACAATATTTTTGGAATAATTCAGCACAAATTCGACAGGATATGTCTGTGGCAATAGCTGCGGAACGTGAATGCTGATTTCATAGAAGGTTCTCTGCTTAGAGTATTGATATGTGATATAGTCCACTCCTATCAAGCAAAGAAAAATCCTGGTAGGCTTGAATTGGATGTAGGCTATAGTGGACATGCTTGCCTCGGGAAGATGCTCGTGTTGATGCTGCAATATGTTGATTTACATGTGTACATGCCTACCACATGTCTGAATTGTGACCTTGAAGATCCGGGGTAGAATAGGTCTTCAGCAGCCCATGCTTGCCGAAAAAGGCGACTATGCTTGTCGTAAGTGATGACTAACGGGATCAGGTGGTCAGGCTCGCTGACTTTGTTGATGCATGTCATCGTGTCCCAATTGTGTGGATTGATGCTCATGATGACAATCACTGGATTGTCTGGTCCAGACTTGATTATTTACAGACCGCCGTCATACAGCTGGAATATTGCTGAGTGCGGCATTAAACAACCAACCAACCAACATGTGTGAATTTATGATTGCAACTTTCAAGGTGCTATATATATGATTGTAAATCTGAAAATGTTTGACTAAAAGAATTAACTGTGTTTTCTGATAACATACACTTGTCAAAGATGAATAGCTTGTTTCTTTAACATTTCAGAATATATAAGCTGATAAATATTGAAATTACAATTTTTTCAGAAAAGGTATATTTTAATATACAGATATTATAGATCATTTTAGGTCGCAAGTGAAAGGATGATTTCAGCGAGTTACATGAAACACAGTTCTTATTTTAGCGATATATCAACAGTAAAACACTAGTCTTGGACACACTGGGAAGAAGATTACCGTATTCGACGTAATAAGCGCCCCGCTCCAATAAGCGCCCACGGCGATATTTGCTAATATATTGGCTAGTGAACAATCCCAATTGGCACCCCTTCCGATTGATCAATGTACACAAGACTTATTTTTTTCGCGAATAATACGCACTCGTGTGTTATATGCACCCTAAATTATGGGCAATTAATACATAAACATCAGGCTGTCAGCATAAACCAAGAAATTTATCTCTCAACTCCGGTTTTTTTTTCACCAAAATAATATTCTAATAAGAGCCCCCTATTTCTAATTTTGAGAGCGCCCTGGGCGCTTATTACGTCGAATACGGTACGTCTTTTTCAACTCTTTGAATTCTGGGTCTACATTTTCGAAACGATCTTAGCTAAGATTAATCTTAACTTACGTTCAAAGATAATGTATCTTAAATAAGATAAGATACATTTTCGACATATCTTAAATATGTCGCAGATTGTACTAAGTACTATCCTAACTCTGACAGAGAAGTTAGATTTACGACATTCTTACGATATCTTGTTATACTGAAATATTGTTTTGAAAATCTAGGCCCTGTATAACCTGGCACTGGTGTGTGTTTGTTGAGGACCTGTCAAGTGAGTGGAGCTCTATCACAGTGTTGTCACTGGCCTACTGTGTATTGTTAAATGTCATGGCCTTATTATGAATAAATACAAATATATTTGTTTGCTTTTGTTTCACAAAGTTTGACATACAGAAAATATGATCCACATGGGGGAATTTGGTGAGGTGAGGTGAATTTGGTGAGGTGAGGTGAGGTGAATTTGGTGAGGTGAGGTAAATTTGGTGAGGTGAATTTGGTGAGGTGAGGTGAATTTGGTGAGGTGAGGTGAGGTGAATTTGGTGAGGTGAGGTGAGGTGAATTTGGTGAGGTGAGGTAAATTTGGTGAGGTGAATTTGGTGAGGTGAGGTGAGGTGAATTGGGTATAACATCTTGTTATGTCATTTCACTAAAATAGCCACATGCATGTGTGTGTGTGTGTAGCTGCTTGTACTAGTCCGGACTTAAGCCTTTCTCATAGTGCTAACCCACTGAGATACAAGCCGCATTTTGAGATAGAAATCCCACTCAGAGCCGGCCGGTCCTTGTTTTATCCTCTTAATGCTGACTGCCAGGCAGGGTAACAACAAGTACTATAGTTTAACGTCTAATGGTATGACGCAGATGGAGATCGAGCCCCCAACCTCCGTTCCACGGGCAGATGCTCTATCCACATGACGGAGGTGGTTTTGAAATAGGTAATCCTGGTGGTAGATGCGGCAATTGGAAATGAGTCAATGTCAACAACATTCCAACTGTATCACAGTAGACTGTAAATAATATCTGTCCTGTTACTTGATTATTGACAGGCTGCTGTCATAGTATTTGTTTGTTTGTTTGTTTGTTTGTTTGTTTGTTGTTTAACGCCTCAATCAGCAATATTCCAGCTATATGATGGCGGTCTGTAAATAATCGAGTCTGGACCAGACATTCCAGTGATAGACATCATGAACATCGATCCACGCAATTTGGATCGATGACATGCATCAACCAAGTCAGCAAGCCTGACCACCCGATCCCGTTAGTCGCCTCTTACGACAAGCATAGTCACCTTTTACGGCAAGCATGGGTTGCTGAAGACCTATTCTAACCCGGATCTTCACTAATATGATCTGTCACATCACTAAAGATAAGATATTTTATGGATGTTTACTTCTTTATTCTATTAGTATGAGACGTTTAGATCCTTGTAATGTTGTCAAGCTGTCACGTTGCTGGAATATTGCTGACTGCAGCGTAAACAACCGAATGTACAGATTTGGTTATTTACTGTTTATCATTATACAGCTGGAATATTACTGACAGTTGTGTTAAAGAATAAACTAATCAGATTTGATTATTAATAAGCTGCCCTTTTGTAGTTGGAAAACAGCTGATTGCAGTATTAAACAACAGATCGAATATTGCTGACTAAACAAAAAAAACTACTTTCCCACACATCAAGTATCGTGATGTGCACCGATGCTCACACTATCAACCACTGGTTTGCCTGTTTCATGTATAGTATAGATGTAGGTCATAGCATCAGCATTCAACAGAGCGGAAATGTGGCATTGTAATTCACCTATAAAACAAGACTGATTTAATAAAATATCTTTATTCCAAAATATAATCACTCAGACATACAATCCTCAAACAAACACCCACACATAATACAGTCCACATGAAACACTACCAGCTCGTAGCAAGTGAGAAAACATAACAAAAACTACTCCATTGTGGCACAAAACTAAATGCCCATTTACAAACAAATATCCCTCGCAATCAAGTGAGCTCGACAGTTTCCCAGTGGACTAGTCTTGTATTCCAGTTTCAAAGGTTATGTAATTCACTGTGAGATCATTTCATGTCAAAACCAGCAAGAATTCCAGGTAAGACTATAGGTCCTCGAGTCGCTTGTCATCATTTCCCACTTTCTGTGTATCGTCGTTCAAGATGTCATTGACTGGACTGTCTAGTCCAGGCTGTATTACATGTATTTTCAAACCTCTATCATTCTGCTCGAAAATTAACAACAAACAAACATGTCAAATTTGATAGTGGCTTGCTACCCAACTGAAAGGCATGGCGTACCAAAGATTCCCATTTTTAGTTTGACAAATGGCTAAAAAATGACATGCATGTCTGTAAAACAAATAATTGAGTTTGGCCTCGAGTAAAATGTTGCACCCACTGCCTGCTCAGCAAGATCTACCCCCAATAGCTTCATGCTACTTTAGTGAGAGATGTCTGAACACAGGCCAATCATTTTGATGAAATTAATAGCTTCAAACCCACATTTGATTGAGCATCAATCATTTTTTAAATAATGAAATAATTCTTAAAATTTGATATAATAAATCTCATTTGGAATTATTCTTTCATTGCACATATATGTTGAATACTTGTAAGTTGTGAGCCTACAAGCAGACTCCCTTCTTTAGTATGATGTTGCCGTACTGGGCAGTTTCCCTGAAAAAGTAAAGGCAAAAACATCATTATTGGCACATTTAAGACATAGTCTGGAAGTTTATTTAAGGTACCGACGTTTACTACAATATCTAAAAAACTATCGGACCTACTCCAGTCAAAGTTGGTATGAGATTATTAAACAGTCATACATAACTAGATATTACATTTAAAGACAATCAGTGCATGAATAAAAAATCTGTGTATTTAGCTATCACTACATTTCATCAACAACCAGACCTGTTCGTCACGGGTGGAACGAGCATTCATTGTAACAGCCATCTGCAAGACAATCGGTGCATGAATAAAAAATCTGTCTATTTAGCTATCACTATATTTCATCAACAACCAGACCTGTTCGTCACAGGTGGAACGAGCATTCATTGGAACAGCCATCTGCATAATGCTACCCCTGCGTCACAGGGCCATATGAACCAATCAACTCAACTCGAAAGGGTGCACGGGAATCACCCACGTTGAGACGCCCAACGCTAACACTGTATTCATGCGTGCGTGATTCCCGTGCACCCTTTCGAGTTGAGTTGATTGGTTCAACTGGGTTGAAATATAGTGATAGCTAAATAGACAGATTTTTTATTCATGAACCGATTGTCTTTAAATGTAATATCCAGTTATGTATGACTGTTTAATAATCTCATACCAACTTTGACTGGAGTAGGTCCGATAGTTTTTCAGATATTGTAGTAAATGTCGGTACCTTAAATTACCTTCCAGACTTATAGCTAGCTAGATAAATCGCAAAGAACAAAAGCATGGTTTATTTCATGATAAATATTCTATCATTTCTGGAGTTTCGAACATGTGCTTGCAACTTGCTGATGTCATATTTTTGACATTATTTGAGAGAGGGGAAGGAAAAAGGTACAGGTAATCGACGTGCACACATATCAGACTTGTCCAATATTGCTGAGGTCAGATTCTATTGAGGAATTCGTAATTATTTAAATACGGGTAAATATTTTTACAGATGGTACATTTGATCATCATCCTAAAAGAGACTGTACATATTGTTGATCTCTCATAAAAGAAATAAATGACTGGTAGTCGTTAATTGTAAATAAAATGCTGCGCCCCTCATGGTTTATTCTCCCTGCAGTGTTTTATTGTATGATAAACAATTCCAAGTCGTCGTTTATTTCTTAAATAGAATACAAACCTGTAAGTGTTAAGTGAAGTGAAACAGGGTTTAACGTCTCATCCAAGATTGCAGCACTTATAAAGCAACATGCATGCATGTGTGTGTGTGTGTGGTGCTGCTTGTACTAGTCCGGACTGATGCCGATTTATAGTGCTAGCCCACTGAAATACTATGCCGCAGTTTAACTTGAATAGCCCACTCAGACACAGCATACAGAGCTGACCAGTCCTTGTTTTAGCCCCTTAATGCCGAGCGCTGGCCAAGGTAACAACAAGTACCATCTTTTCACGTCTTTTGGTATGGCGCGGCAGGGAAGCGAACCCCAAACCTTCTGCTCTCCGGGCGGACACTCTACCACTAGACCACAGAGGCAGTCGATAACAAGACTAAAAGTGGCGTGGGACCATACTCATTCACTAAATGCAAGACTGTAAAACAAGACTGTATTAAAAGTAGTTTTATATTTTCTTAATCAGATAGGATAGTGTGTGCAATACTACCTGAGGTGTGGATGTGTGACTAATTATCTCCCCTTAGCCATGAATTTGCCTCATCTGTGGATGGTGTATGAGTATGGTCTTACGCCACTTTTAGCAATTTTCCAGTAATATCACTGCTGGGGACACCAGAAATAGGCTTCACACATTGTACCCATATGGGGAATCGAACCCGCGTCTTCGGCGTGACGAGCCAACACTTTAACCACTAGGCTACCCCAGCACCCCGCCTTGGACAGAGGATAAGGCTTTTCATGAGGCTGACATTACTATACTGATAGTGAGAGGACAGGACATATTATTTGCTTATACATACCCTGTATGCACAATGGCAAAAGCCTTCTTGGCTCGCTCATAAAATTCAAATCTCTCAATGAGTTCCAAGGGAACCTGAAATATCAAATAAAAGATGTTCAATAAGTGAGGAACATATTCAATCACTTCAGTGGTATATAGGGGGCACGGGTGGCTTTGTCATCTAAGGTACCGCAATTTGATGTGGAGTTTGAATCCCAGATATTCACTACCTCCCTTCCCAAATGTCTGTTGCTATCACCTCCCTCCCCAAATAAACTGACGCTAAGGATAAAAAAGGGTGGAGAGTGGGTTAAGTTTGTAAAAAGAGCTTAAGTTCTAAAATAGCACAGTTGGTTGGTTGGTTGGTTTGTTGTTTAACGTTAACGTTTTATATTCCAGCTATATGACGGCGGTCTGTAAATAATCAAGTCTGGACCAGACAATCCAGTGATTAAAATCCAATTGCATGGATTGATGCTCATGTCAATCACTGGACTGTCTGGTCCAGACGTGATTATTTTCAGACCGCCGTCATATAGGTGAAATATTGCTGAGTGCAACGTTAAACAACCAACCGACCAACCATGCGTTAAAAAACATACAAACAAACAAACAATAGTAAATGAGGGAGCAAGACATCATCGCACAAATAATACGGCCTCCATTGATTGCCGTAAAATCAACAATCTGCCATAGAGTGCCCACCATAACTGAATCTTATTCACAAGTGACTACATTACACATAACCTGCTAACTAACACAAGTCTTGCTGTGAGGGAGACTTACTTCCTTGCCCTCTGCCTTGTTGATAATGGCCATGTATTTGTCCCAGACTGGGGTCGGGAGCTTCTTTGCCTTGTCGGAATCAACCAGATCCATTCTGCCCACCTGAAACAACAAGTTCACGCATTCAGGTTAACACACATCAGTGAGTGAGTGAGTGAGCCACTGTTGGTATATCTCCCCGAGGCAACAGTGTCCACTCCACCCTTGCCACATCAAGCCCACTTTCCTGTGCTAAATATCATTGGACTGTCGCACATATCGATAGTCCAATCACAGAATGTTTCACAAAATCAACATCCACGACTTGTACACCTTCATATGAAAGTGATTTTCTGCTGCCTGTTCTTGTTGACACGAATATGTCTTTTTCATCTTTTAAACCCCCGAACGATTGCCTATGTTTTTGTGTCAGGGATGAAATCGTGAATGTTTTCGTTATCTGATCCACTAGGTAGTTGCCCTCTTTGTGAAGCTATACGAGATAAGAACAGCGATCTGATTGGATATCGCGTTTTCATTACAAGGGGCATAACTCGTGAGCTGGCACCAGGGTCGAGCCAAGTAAAGTGGCCTCAGTGTGGCAAGGGTAGAAACTAGACTTTGATATAGGCTAGTGGACTCGCTTGCCTTGGGAAGATGCTGTTAGCAATACTCCGGCTATATCAGGGCAGGGAACACCAGAAATAGACTTGTGTCCATGTGGGGAATCAAACCTGGGCGAGAAGACACTTTAACCACCAAGCTACCCTACCACCCCTTATCACACATGACTCTAAACCAGTTCAAATACTACTGCACTTTTATATATTATTATCCATAATTTTGTAAATTTCAAACGTAGACATCTGTATTCTGTACACATGGAAAAAAGTTTCTTGTTTTTTTACTCACATAAGCTGTTTTGAGGACGAAGAAATTATGACATATGACTTTTTATGTTACCCAAATGTACTGAACAAAAAAGTTATTGCGTAATGAAGAATGAGCACACAATTTCATAAAATTATTAAAAAAATATTTATGATCTCTAACTATTCTTGTTCACTATATGAATAAAAGCCATTACCCCCGCATGAATCATCATCCCAAGGCAAGAGAGTTAACTGACTTTAAAAGTCCAGTTTCCATCCTTGCCGAATTAGGCTGGAATTCCTGGGCTGGATCGTTGCCGACCAATGCTTATTATGAGTTATGTCCCTTTTGAGCCTCTCCTATGGACCAATCCGATTACATCACTTGCACTTGTTTCGAACAAAATGGCGGCGCCCAGTCAAGACGATCTGATCATTACTCAAGATCTATATTGTGATAAAACGGGTCTTACATCGCGAAGGGCATCAAATCACCCGAGCACCTTGATTAAAAACATGAAAATGTTTGGAAAATATCTGTTGGCAACGAGTCGGCGGTGCACATGCTTTGCAAATCCTGCAATCGACCGTAATCTGCACGACAGTTTAAGAACCGGATTTTGATTTCGTTGCAAGATTTTGATTGGACTATGCATAGACTCGTTGGTCCAGCCAAAATGTAACTCCATAATACCAGCCTAGTTCGGCAAGGGTGGAAACTGGACTTTTATAGTCGGTTAACTCGGTTGCCTCGGGAAGATGTGCATGAATATGACAAGCAGTTTGTAGTGTTCTAATTCATGTGACCTCTCTTTAAAGCCATATGGTCAGTGGTGCCGTTGTACAAAGCGAATGTGGCGCTAAGGTGATGGTAATTCCCATACCTTAACATAGACTTATGACAGTCGTAGCGCTAAGGTTGTTTCGTACAACAGCACCCATATCATTATCATAGTGCCTCTTAAATTGTTAGTGAGAACTTCACAGTCCAATGGGAGGAAAAAGGGCTTTCTTTTTCGCTGTCAGGTTTAATGACACACTCAGCAATATTCCATACATAGTAATGACTGTAAATAATCAATAATCAGTCAGAACCAGACAAACCAGTGGTTGATATAATGAGCAATGTCAAACATCTTCAGTGTATGATCATACACAATCCACCAAGTCACCATGCAAGTCTCCTTACTAGTCGACCCGTGAAGATTCGGGGTAAAATAGGTCTTCAGCAACCCATGCTTGCCGTAAAAGGCGACTAAAGGGATCGGGTGGTCAGGCTCGCTGACTTAGTTGATGCATGTCATCGATCCCAATTGCGTGGATCGATGCTCATGATGTCAATCACTGGATTGTCTCGTACAGACTCGATTATTTACAGACCGCCGTCATATAGCTGGAATATTGCTGAGTGCGGCGTTAAACAACGAACAAACCAAACCAAATCCTTACTAGTCCAATTTAGTTGCTGTCTAACAAGGAATAGAGTGCCCAGGACCAGTTCTAACCCTGATCCCCATGGAGCCATATCATCCAATCAGGACAGCTGTTACAAAAGTCGTGGAAGCTCACATACTATTTTCCTGCTGGCATACTTTCATAATAAGTTGCTACAAGAGGCTTGACTAGTGCAATATATCTTAACACTTGAAAGTCTCCATTGTATTCTCATAAAGGTTTTGACTGACAATTAATGTCCTTTATATCTTCATCTTCCATCTTACCGGTTTGTCTACATATTGGTCCAGGGTAAACAGCTCTAAGACTCCCTCTAACAGCGACGGGATATCTAGACCTGAAACATAAACACCAACATTTAAGTAGCTATAAGAAGCTATCACCAATAAAGTCGCAGATAATGTGAAACATTAATTGTTTGTGTGGATGCAAAACCTTCACAAAAGCCATATTTTGTTTTTGTTTCAGGTGAGCTTATACGACGTACTATAATAAGAAAAGGCATATATATGCCAAAGTTCCACTTCATGAGGCTGACAATATCATAGAAGCTTACAGACCCAATTGAAAGAATTTAAGATAATGGTCAAATCACAAAGGTCAAACTTTAACACATCACCAAGAACTGAACATATGTGTTCAGACCCACTACAAACTACACATATACCAAATTTCATACTTTTTTTCAAAAATGTCTGAGGAGAGACGATAAATAGCTTCGTCACTATGCCTGCCATGGAGGAAATATTAAAAATCAGATTCAAACTCCTTGAACAAATTCAACCCATATTTTCAGGGGTCGTCACTGGAGCGCACAATTTTTTCGCATGCGAAATGTCAGCTTCATTGGTCCAGCAGTTTGTAAGAAGTTGTTTATGATGCACAACACTTTCAGTCAGGTGAGCTAAAAATGCATGCAATATAATTTTCTAAAAATATGTCTGACCATCAGCGCGCAGCTCCCTTGGACCGCTTCGACAGATGGAGGACGAGGGGAAGTGGGCATCAGCAAATACTGAAACAAAGCAGAGTGAGTGAGTGAGTGAGTGAGTGAGTGAGTGATTAGTCAGAAATATCCGACCAGAAAATACATACCATATTCGACGTAATAAGCGCCCCTCTTATAAGCACCCACGGCAATATTTGCTAATATATTGGCTAGTGAACAATCCCAATTAGCACCCCTTCCGATTGATCAATGTAGACAAGACTTTTTTATTTGTGTGTTATTGGCACCCTTAAATATGGGCAATCAAATTCTGGAAAGATATATCTGGTGTATTTAAACATTTCAGGCTGTCAGCATAAACCACGAAATTTATGTTTCAACTCTGTTTCTTCCACCAAAATAATATTCTAATAAGAGCCCCCTATTTTTAATTTTGGGAGCGCCCTGAGCGCTTATATATATGGTAATATGGTATTACTATGCATTTCATTTAGCCAGTATATATAGGGATGCATGAACAATGGAAGGACTCTTTGAAATGTTTTATTGATAAAACACCAGCTCCATTAAAACAATCATGACCATGGTCCACAAACCTATCTCATAATTAGTCCTTTGATTGTGGTAAGGTGAGTGAGTGAGTTTGGTTTAACGCCGCTTTTAACAGTATTCCAGTTATATCATGGCGTGTCAGCTTAATGTGGGAGGAAAGCCCGAAGTGATGCAGGTCTCAGACGTTTACCACTTCGGTGAAAGCCACGAGCACGGGTATGGTGCTGACAAACCTAGAAACATAATTGGGGCGAACCGGGATTCGAACCCACAATCATAGGTTTCTGGCGTGCCCAAGTGACGCAACTCTGCACAGCGAATCGCCGCGCCTTAGACGACTGGGCCACCCGTGCCCCCCCCCCCCCGATTGTGGTAAGGGACCGACCCCTTGATATTCTTGTGGGGAACCTAGGATTTTGTATGGAAATCAGATATTTTTCAGCTAAAGCTACAAAACCAGATATTTTTTCATTTAAAACTACGAGCCTGTGTCTTTTTGCATCAGTGTAATTTTTGTGGCAGACAATTTTTTTTTTTCAGTCTGAAGCATTACTATTTTTTACAAGAATTTTTGGGAACAATTTATTTTTTCCAATAAAAAACAATGTTCGATCCTAATCTTATACTATTCTCTCATACTATGATAGATCATGCACACAGACCCTGAAACAAAAATATCCGAGAACGCTCGTGCAAGTCTAAAACAGTTTGGCAAGTCTAGATTTCTTCTTAAACTGAAGAGATTTTCTGGGCTCCTGTACCAAACAAAAATATAACGAAAGTGTTTAACATTTTGATATCACAGATAGACTGTGAGTCTAGTGCAACATTTCAACATAGAATTACGACAGACGTAGCGCTATGATCGCTTTCTGAATGAGAGCCTGTCTCGCTTTCGCAGAAAATCAGTGTCCTTTCGACACTGCGACACGCACCTGTGCACGGACCTCGGTGAAGACAACATGCAGTCACTTCTGGTTGCGGAAATCTACATTTTTAATATTTACCTATCTCGTCTCCATGACCCATGAGCGCAAGCACATGCAGTAAATCCGGTGAAATGATATTAGGTACTTTCTTCAGTGGCATGATGATCTAAATATCTGTCTCCAAGTTGTAGCTACTACCGACCTTTGATACGCTTGACGTGGAGATACTACTTGGGGACGAATAGTAAAATAAGTATTGTGACAGAGAGAAGGCGTCTGTTGAATGTTGTTTTTATTTTAGGTTACTGTAGTCTTTTAACTTTAAATAATCAGTCAATGTAAGTGTGGTTATAACAACTGTCATGAACGCATCATATACTCTGCATTTGCGACAGAGCCAGCACAGAGACGGGCATATCACAGGGGTTGTAATAACAAGGCACGTACGTATTACAGGCTCATGTTACATGGGCGGTCGATATCATCCTCGGTGGTAAGAAATTGGAGTTACGTCCCTTGGAATGTTGTCTGCTCGGCTACCTTTGCCGTGACAATGTCTTCCAAACAAGGTGAAAATGTATTACATCCACTTGCAAATACAATCTCTTGGACAAAACTGAGGACACACATATACATTTAAAAAGAAACGGACAAGGATCAAAGGTTTTGTGAACAAATTGAAAAACGAGAACATATGGTAGATATCTACGTAACACAGACAGCGGCATGCATTTATGTGTGTTGGAATGGATACTATATATATAGATAGATAGATAGATAGATAGATAGATATATAACGTAGTTTGGACAAGTTCACATGGCCCTGGGAAAAATGTCATGTCTGTTTTTTTAGTTGAATTATATGTTGGGGGACGAGAGCCATATTTCGTTGTATCGTCGAAATCCCCTTAATCAACCGTTTTTCGAATTCCCAGCGGTTTTATGACTGCAGTTTCGTATGCATGTTTTCACGCATTTTCATTGCTTTATATTATTTAGCCAACCCATTAACCTTTCAAAAAATATTTTGGGAAATAAATCAACTGACAGTACTCTTTTCGAAACTTTGTAATTTATTTTGTTTAAGCCTATTAAAAGAAAGAAGCCTTCTAATACCGAGCATGTATTTAGTGTACATATCTGTCGTAATGTTTTTTCATCAAAATGACCATCCTCTAATCAGTCAATTTTGGTATTTGACATTTGAAATTTGGACAAGAAAATCAGTAAAATAACAAATTGATACTAAACAGTGGAACTGTGCATGTCCGAAAGTCCCTCCCCCCCCCCCCCCTCACTGGATGTACTTACATAATAACTGCTATAGGACCCAAATTGGTGAACCTTGATTATCCTTACTTCGCTTTTAAGGAGAAGCTGAGACGTGGATTAACGAGGTCACAGGTATTATCAATATAGTTAATGTTCATGATATGCCTATAAACGAACGTGAAATTAATCGTGACCGATATACATGTTATGTAAAGAAGAATACAATGAGCATCGATCCACGCAACTCGGATCGATGACATGCATCAACCAAGTCAGCGAGCGCGACCTTTGTTGATTTCCGCAAAGCTTTTGATTACGTTGATAGTAAAAACACCTGTTGTACCTATTTATCACTCAATGATGTCGTGGTAAACTGTCAATAGTTCTTAAGAATATGTATTCCTCAGTCAAAACATGTATTAAAACTGACTGGTACAACTCCTTGTTTTACTAATTCCTGTGGTGTTCATCAAGGTTGCATCTTGAGCCCAGTCTTATTCATCTTTTATAGCATGAAAATTGGATATATGGTGATAAACATTTAAAAGTTGCAACTTATTATAAGTATTTAGGTCTATTAATGTCCTCAAGATTAAATTGGCCCAAGGCTTGTAAGACCTTAGCGCCACAGGCATCTAAGGCAATGTTTCCTGTTCCTAAATTATTCAAGTAAAACAAATATATCTCATTTTCAAGAGCAAATTCGATATTTGATGGTAAAATTCTACCCATTTTGTTGTACGGAAATATGGGGCATTAAATATTTTGAATCCATTGAGAAAGTTCACACTTTGTATTTTAAGCAGTTTTTATGCATTGGTAAATATTCTTCAAATAAGGCAATACTTGTTGAAACTGGTCGGTGTAGTTTATATGTACATAGCCATCTGCGTGTTGTTAAATACTGGATAAAATGATTAAAAATGGAAGCTCACAGGTACCCATTTCAATGTTACAAAATTATAAAGCAATTAGATGGTGAAGGGAAAACGAATTGGGTGTCTAGAGTAATAAGTACAAACTGGATTTTCCTTTGTATGAATCTCACAAAACACTGGTAATGAAAAACTATTTTTGCTTAAATTTAAACAAAGATTATTAGATATGTTTCAGCAAAACTGGCACCAACAAATGTCCTCTCCACACGTTCTCAAGCATTATGCTGGTATTAAATCATTGTTAGAACCAGAAAAATATTTAAGCATATTACAAGTTAAAACTCAATTGAGAGCTCTTTGTAAATTTAGAATATCTCTCCATAACTAACTTATGTTCTAACTGTGCCAACAAGGAGATTGAAGACGAGTTTCATGTTCTTTTTATATGTGAAAAATATCAAACGTTGAGATTAAAGTTTCTACCAAATTTAGATATTACACACAAAGACAATCAATTGATGTTCAATTTGTTGAATTCGACCAATGAAGAAGTTATCAAATCTCTAGCAATATATTTGAAACATGTATTTAGACTTAGGTGAATATATTATACCATGTTCAAGATCACGTTGATTTCTATGTATCTGTTAAAACTGAACTTGTCATATGGTCTTGCATACTGAATAATCTGTCTGTCTGTCTGTCTGCCAGGTTACCTGTAAATTGAATTCAGATCAGAACGCAGAGCAATTATTCACGGCTTAATATTTAATTACCTATGGGTAATTTCATCTGGAATTTCAGTATTTGAAATGACAATAACGATTTCTTATATTTTCAATCGAGATATTTATCAAAATTTGTTTCGAAGCGTAGTTACCAGTTTTAAACGAGTGCCGTAAGGCACGAGAAAGCTGCCTTCTGATTGGCTAATGTCGACTACTGGTCAGTCATTCCATTAGTCGGTCAAAGTTTGCAAAAGGTGGGCATGACGTGACCCGTAACGGGATGTCCTCAGATCTTTGTTTAGCTGTAGCTAGAACTACGATCTTATTTTAATGAGATTGTTATTTTTTGGAGTGGGTAAACCCCGATAAGGATAAAATTAATACTCCAGCAAGTTCACTTCGTGATGACAACAGAAAACGTTGAACCTCAATAACGAGCGTGACGACCGGATGTCACGGTGATGCGCCGGTTGAGCATGAGCTTGTAAACACCCATCCTCGACACTGCGATTTCCCCGGTCACTATATCGCGGCCAATCACACAGCACAGACATTTTTCACAATATGCGTCATGAAAATATTGTTGAGTCGAAAAAAAATCTTTGTTCCCATCGACGCATAGCTAACGCCTATATCCTTCCTGGATCTCACTTCAAACGACAAGCGTCCTTTTGGGGTAGTAAAACGTACGAGGTTTGAGAAAAAGAACGTGCGTGTTTGGTGAATTATGCGTTTATTTTGATAAATAAAGTGTTTGTTTAAGTAAATAAAATGTTCGTATTTAATAGAAATTTTATATATATTTTGTGAATAACACGTTTATGTTTGATAAATAAAGAGTCTGTGTTAGTAATTTTAATGTTCGCGTTACTAAATAAAAGTTTCTTCTTTAGTGAATAACACATGTTTGGTAAATAAGGCGTATGTGTTTAGTGGATCAAACATTTGCGTTTAGTGACAACATGTTCGAGCAAAACTGCAGGATTAAAAGAGTATAACCTTTGTATAAACGACAAAGTGAGAAAAAAAATCATCATCTATAACTTGGGAATTTCACGAAGAGGGGCCATGTATCATGAGAAAAAAAATTCAACCAAATTTGCTTTGTTTAGACTTATGACGCTTCATCAGCTTGTACGTAGAGCTGCGCTCGTGACCCGTCGTTGATATATCCAGCTGTTGTCTACAAGGACATACCTTCTTGCGTCATAGCCGCTTGCTGTGAAATGAACAGATCACGAGGCGAGTTTCTGATGTATCCTTAAGCACGTGTAGGAGAGATCTACCAATCAGCATCCAGAGGATGCGAAATGTAAAAACATTTGCCTCTAAACCCATTTACCTCTAAAGTTCCACATGATTGTAATGGGATATACACAGAAACTATTTGAAAAAGGGGTAATATTTTGTGATAACGATGACAGGTGTTTTTAGATTAGACGAGCTTCTAAATATATTTCCTCAGTTTCATCGAAAACGAAATGATTTTTCTCTCCAAAATATTAAATGCTATTAAAATATCTCGAGATATTTTCATCTGGAAGCCAATACACACACTGTCCCGACATGTTTGTAGATTTAAGGGCACAAATAATTCGACATATAAAAGGATCATATGGAAATTTATTATATTGTAATTGAATATACATTGATCATCTACTAATTAATGATATAAATTAACTATACGATAATTAATCATGTAGACGTTGATCGTATAAACTGGTTACAGAAACGTAATGATACGTATTGTAGTATCAGAGGTACAATGGCTGACCTACACTACCGGGCAAAAGAAAGTATACACCATGTTTGATGATGGGTAAAAATGAACAAACAAGAAATGTGTATTCGATGGTGATGTATTGATATGGGTATCAAAGTTGTGTTTTGGACCTTACATTTGCAGTGTTTCGGCGAATGTTTTCCACCTTGCAAAGTTTTCCACAGAGAAACTATAGCCTTAAAAGGAAAGAGCTGAGTCAAACCCAATTCAATCACTCAGATTTTAGGGGACAAGGTTCGTTTCATAGTCAATCCTAGCAATTGTAATATAAGTCTTACAAACTGTTTCACTTTAACTGAAAACCTTTATCATAATATATCAATCTAGCAGCTAATGACTAAATTAAATGTCCACGGACAGTGTCTCGGTTTCACACAAAGTATTTATGACAGCGGCTGTTGAGCGAGGCTGAAAATGAGCGGCAGACAGAAGAATAGTCTCCCTTTATCCGTCACGCAAACGCTTGTGATTCCCTCAAATATTGGGGGCAATAGCTTGTACTCAATGAAAATGCCTTATCAGTGAGGATGTGTCATCGGGGCATGCACCAGGAGGCGTCCAAAATCTAGGTCAA